TCCTCACCGTGCTCGTGTGGTCACCGACTATCTTCAACGTGAAGCAATCGTTCGCATGGACTGGCCAAGTCGTTCTCCTGATCTGAACCCTAGAGCATGCTTAACACTTTTTTCCGCCACAGAACCGCCAACAGCTTATGATTGCTCTGCAAGACGAATGGCAGCGCATCCCACAGATCAGCCACCGACGACTAATAAGGAGCATGTGCAGACGTTGCAGGGCAGTTATTGATGTCAACGGAGGTCACTTGTTTTTACTGCCTATTAAACTGCCAATTGCAGTTTGATGAGTTTTCCTTGCCTACATGATTAACTTGCTCTACTTCCTCTTACACTTTGATTTCAAGGGTGCTGTTACTCAGGGTTATCTGCTCTTGGTAGCAATTACCACAAATGAATTTGTTTTGTGTAATTAAAGACTAAAATGAATGTTCTGTCATTAAAATTTAAAATATAATCATATTATTATTTGTATGTAAAACTGCACTGTTTCAAGTTTATGATCCTTAACTTATTTTGTTCAGTATATTAAGAACTGTCGCATTGCATACTGGGAAATCAATTACAAGTACATAATCAGATATTGAAAATGTTTATAAAAAATCGACAGTAAGGTCATTTTATGTTGAGAAATGAATCTGTCATAATACTCAATATACATTGTGGCAGTCATTGGGTTGAAAGCTGTTGAGAGTACTGGCCGTAATTTACTGTTGAACCGAAACAGTATGATGAACTCTGTGAATGTACAAAAATAAAACAATATAACTACACTGTACATAAACTTCACACAAATATGATTAAAAGATATTAGTATGAAACATCACTATCATTTAGATAAAATATAATACAGTTGATCACTAACGAGTAACTTGATAAGATATAAAAATATCAATATGAACTATTTCCAGGTAAGTACGGACATACAGTATATAGAATAGATAATAGATACAGTACGTGTGTACTGTCACAGAATAACAGACAGCTAACTGGGTCCAAGTTTATTATTGATCCGGTAAAAACTGCAATGTAAAAAAGTAACAATCCTGAATACCTAAACCATACACAAATTAACTGTGACGTAAGACAAAATTTAACGGACCAATGACCGTACGACACTGTATGAAAAGACAATAACGACACTAACCACATAAGTATGCACGTGACTAATGAACAAAATACAGTATAGACGTAAACTAATAACAAGATTTAACAATTAGAGACAATACAATTCACATTATATTAAAAGATGATCTTGTCACAATTTTAATGAATATCTTAAAATGAATAAGTCATTTTATTTACATAGAAATGTATCCATGAGATAAGCGTATTGAGAGTGTTAACACTTGGTACCCTTGACGTGAAATTTACGTGCACATTATGACATATATTAGAAAAAAAACTCAAGAAAATACAAAAATGTCAGCATAATTATAACCCAAGTTCATACTACAAAAATTTTAAAAGTGTACATGGAGAATAAGGCCAGATGTTCCGGAAAAGTAAGCGTCTTCTGCTTTTTCGACAAAATCGCCATGTAAACCGGGGTCAATCCCAATGTGACGTTCTCAAAAAAGAAGAGGGCACACAACAACGGAACCAACATGCAAATTAACGACCATCGAACGCGTCCAGCTTTATCTCACAGGAAAATTAAATATGTCTCAATGAGATCACTATGGTAACCATAAATCTTCCCCATAATTTTCATCAAATTGCTACCCTGTGTTACGAGTTTGTCCGTAAGCTGACATCTTGCACGAAATCCGTGATAATCGAGGAACAGGCCCTTAAATAGTGAATCAACCGTGACTAGTTAATAGTTAATAGAGCATGAATAATGAAGATTTTCGAGTCAGAATATTTAATTTTATAGAGCCTCTACATGGTTGAAATGAAATATTCGATATAAGAAGTTATAAACATCCCCTCCCGGGTATCGTTTTGAGTGACAAAGCTACCCCGTCGTTGGCCCCAGTCGTTGAATAGGTGGTTGTTAACTGAAGTAGGTCAGGAATATTTACTCAAAAGTTTGGGCTTATATTACACAGCACTTAATCCCTGTCAGGACGATAAATGATATAAAAAAAAGTATCAAACGTTCTGTTGACGTTTTTAAGGTATGTTTTATATTTTATCACATTTAAAGTTTCAATCGGATCATTTATTGAGGTATGGCGTCTTTTGAAATACGATTTACGTTTAAACGTTTCTGTCTCTTTCGGAAGTAGATGTTTGTTGTGTGTGTAAATGTGTACATATACATGCAAGGCCTGAAGGTACACATACATAATCATATACAATATACATGTGGCAGAATGGAGGGTGGATATGATAACATACACAATTAAATTGACAATTTAATGTTAACAATATCATCTACTGGAAACATTCACCATTTTGATCATCTAATACATCTACTATTTATGTATTTGTAACATTGTAACATGGCTGACTTCAGAAATCTACATATATTGAATTGTTGTTTATAGTTTTCCTCTGTTAGTAACTTAATAAGTTTGTACACTGATGGGTGATTATAAAAATGTCTTTTTTCATATTTTTTCCCTAGGTTAGAATATAAAGGACAGATTAACATGTAATGGTACTTATCTTCAATTTCTTGTAACTGACAATAAATACATAATCTTTGACTTCGCTCAATATTAGCATGACTGTTAACTACTTTCGTATTCATTAATTTAACCCTGGTAAAATACTTGCCGCAATATACCACTCGGCTAGTGAGAACTTCTCTTGATCTCGATTGGTTGAGCGTCAGATTATTAAGTCCCGGGTTCGATTCCTAGTGGAGGCATCGAAATAAATAATGACCACTGTTACATAGGTGCCCATGTAGGGACCCGGAAATATTACTTAACCATGCCCCACCAGCATCGCTGTAACCCCTGGAAACTCGAGGACGAGTTATTTTCTTGGAGTTGGAGTATGTAACCCTGGTAAAATACTAGCCGCAATATACCACTCGGCTAGAGAGAACCTCTCTTCATCTTGATTGGTTGAGCGTCAGACTACCAGGGTACCCGGGTTCGATTCCTAGATGAGGCGTTGAAATAAATTATGACCTCTGTTACAATTATATAGCCTAGTGTGTCGTGGTTCATGACTGAAACTATTGTGTGACTATATGGGGCACATTTATTTCTTAGACACACGAGAAGAAACCTATAATAAAAGATAAAACTTCCAATCTTTCACACATATAATAGTGATATGTAATTACATATAAACAGATTTATATGATAAATAATTCGAAACCTACATACCGTATTTATTCCAATAAACGCCCCGTGAAAAAGCTGAAAAGTGTCATATCGGCGGGTGTGCTCGTGGGACAAACAGTCCAATTTTGTGACGTCTAATGAGGAAAAATGATGTTATATATTAAGACGATCTTGCCATAACGACAAGGATTAAAGCAAAATTGATGTTCTGTTTGTAAGTTTTGTTTGTTTATAAGTGCTGTTAGTTAATAATTCAAACCAAGCCCCCAGACTACGTATCTCTGCTTACGGTTAATATGGTTGTTTTCTAGGAATATTCACAGCAGCCGATAAGAATCACGTCAGCCCGATCTTCTTCAACAGCACAGGTCGGGATGTCCATGAGCAAATTCCGTAAAATCTATTGTTCAAAATTTATCAATAGTTCAACCACACTGTGCTTCTTTTTTTGAAATATATAGAAATCGTATTGTTATTAAAAAATAAACTTATTGTGAATGCTTTTAAAATAGCGATTTAAAAGATCGCGGCATTATTTACGCAGAAAATTGTCGCTAGAGGGCTCTAATTCTTTTCGATATTTTAGCCAATGAGAAGGCCAGGATCGGTAAATTTTGTCTGAAAGGCCGTCGCAATAGGATGTGCATACTGAGTACGTTTAGCCTAATACTCTTCATGGATGGAAAGGCATTCAAATGCTTTACCAGAATTGTAAATTTTATGACCCCAGTGGCACTCATTTCTCTGTGGATGGGGAAGAAATTTACTGTAGTTTATATAGGGAAAAACATTTACAAACATAGTTTGTTTATTTTCTATTGGAATGAATTCAAACTTGGTTAGAATTATTAGTATAAGATGACAGTTTGATAAGATGTCAATATAGGCTGACCTCGAGGGGCTGCTAATGGGTGGGGTCAAAATGATGGAAATTTCAAAATTCTTATTCTCAATACCCAGATAAAGTAGAACCACATACTCTTCATAGATGGAATATCTTATAATGTTGTATCAAAATGGTAAATTTCATGGCCCCAGGGTCTCCTTGGGGAGGGGATAAAATTTACTTTAGTTTATATAGGAAAATTACATATTTGAACATAATTTGTTTATTTTGTGTTGGAAATAGTTCAAACTTGGTTAAAATTTTTAGTATAAGATGGATGAAATGCACATATTGACCTCAGCTGACCCCCAGGTGCTGTTGAGCAGGGTCAAAAATGGGTCAAATTGACTGAAATTTCAAAAATCTTCTTCTCAGTATCCAGAAGAAGTAGAAACAAATATTCTTCTTGCATAATGAGATATTTTACCATTATATAGTACTTACCTGGTAATTTATCACACAGTTGTATCATTTTAATGTTTGGGGAATCAATTCCATGCATGGTGTAGCTTTTATGAAAATCTGATTACGTCATCTTCAAGGGCATTTCATAAGGCATTCATATCATTTATGATATTATCTGATTTCACATTTGGTGATGTTTTTGTCCTAAAACTTTCCATGTTAGCAAGTTTGTGAGTGGCTAAAACAAAATATTTGAGTTGGGTTTCATAATTTCTGCATGAAATCTACAGGATAGTCCTTTATACATAAATCTTCTGTAATGAAGAAATTGTTTTCTCATGAAATATCATCATAACAGGAATGGATGTTAATTGTTTGTGTCAAAGTAATAACTGCATTAAATATTAAAAGGGAAAAAAAATTACATACTAATGCATTTTTTTATTATTTTTTTATAACAGATAACAGCCGTCATCGCTGACAAAATGGAATTTCCCGAACAAGTCCTTAACTATCATACAGATATGATTTATCACCTTGGACAACTATTTGCAATACCATCCCCTGAATGGAATGATATTTGCAGAAGTTCCGTATCAAATAATTACATCTCGACAAATAAAATGGGCAGAGTGACAAGCATGTCTGACCTCTGCTCGTCTCTCATGGATGATGTGATAATCGAGTATGGCAAATACGACAGATTAAAATCAATGCTTGGTAGACATAAGGACAAGGCTAATGAAATAATTGATAAATACACGGAGTTGATCCGCAAGGAAATGACAGGTAATACTCCAAGTTATAAAATAATCCTCATTATTATCAATTGTACGAGGGCTATAAATCAAATTGTTAAGAACTTATACTTATTTTTTACACAAGTTGAAATTATGGTTTGTATAAGTTATAAGGAAAGATTAGATACAAATTTAAAGTTTTAACATCTTTATTCTGTGATATATCAATAAGGTTACATTTTGAAATACAAGAATTAATTGGTTACCTATTCAATGCCTTGTTTTGTTATTAAGGAGGTAAAGAAACCAATGACCAACAGATGAAATACAACTTCAGAAGTGCAAGTGTTGGCAACAGACAACCAGGACAGAATTCTGATATTGAAAGTAGAAATGGCACTGGCAACAACAGCAATACCAGTATGTACTTTTTCCATTTTTCAACATTATATAAACATTGATAGACTAGACAAACACTAATAACTAATAGAAGTGACTGCATCTATCATCTACTGCAGGGAGACGAAAATCCTCTGACAAGTCGGATCTAAGACCTAGTGAGAAAAGAATGAAAGGTGAATCTCTGTCACTCTCTACATCAAAATTTTATTTTTTCCTTCAGTTTCCTTCAAATGATGGTGTCTTTTTTTCTTAGTGCAGAAGTTATATTTCTCAGCTTATATGAGAGAGGCATAATGTATTATCAACTTGAAAAGAGACAGTGCAATAGATTGCATTATATCAAAATTACTGAAAGTAAACAAAGCTGGTAAGTATGCAGCAGTGTCTGTAATTGCTTACCAAGTACTTGACCTTTTTGTCAGATTTTCAATTGATTTTTGTTTATCTCTCTACCAAACCATCCATATAACTATATTGGCCTAATCACTCCATTTTTAGCTCACCTGGCCCAAGTGAACTTATGCCATAGCTCGGCGTCTGCCGTCCGTCCGTCCTGCATCCATTAACTTTTCATTTAAGCAACTTCTTCTGAAAGATTCCTTTGATGAAGCCCAACAAAGTTTGCAAAACGAAATGACCTTGACCCATATTCAAGGTCACAAAGGTCAAATGTGATAAAACCTTTTAACGACTTTTTCCAAAATATCGGAAGGCCAAGAATCATTATATTAGGCTTCAATATTCTTCTTATGGTGTCCTACAAAGTTTGCTAGTCTTTAAGGTCACTGGGGTCAAATGTGTTAAAACCTTCAAACAATTTCTTCGGAAATATCGAAAATCCTAGAATCATTATATTTGGCCAGTATGTTCCTTTTATGAAGTCCAAGAAAGTTTGAAAAAAGAAATGACCTTGACCCATAGTCAAGGCCACAGGGGTCAAATGTGTGAAACCTTTAAATGACATTTTCTGATTATCCAAAACATCGAGGATAGTGATATTATTCTAAAATAGGTTCTCAATGATGCTCGGTAATATTTGAGACAAGAAATGACCTTGACCCATATTCAAGGTCACAACAGTCAAATGCATTAAACCTTTGAACAATTTTTGCTTAACCAAAAGGCCTAAAATCATGATATTTGGCCAAAAGGTTCCATTTATGGTGCCCACATAGTGTGTGAAAAAATAGCTTGACCCTAGAAATATTTAAGATAACTGGGTTTAAATTTGGTTAAAATCATTAACAACTACTGATTGACCAAATTCTATCATATTTGGCCAGTAAATGTTTCACAAAGGCTTATATACAAATATGTAGAACCTTCCAATGATTTATTAGAGGAATATATTTGGTTGGGAATTTTCTTGGCATAATTTGGAATAAATTATAAAGACCTTTCACGGGGATGTCACACTGTTCCAAAAAATAGATTAGGCCAAGCCCCCAGGAGGTCTGAAAGGCTTGAGCGAAGTAATGTGAAAAACTACATGTTAGCCAATTACTTATGTTCTATTCACAGCATTAAAATACAGAAAACATGATTAGAATGAGAATTGCAAGATCTTCCTTTTGATTAAAGATTCTTCATAATTATAGCATAAATAAATGAGAAATTCTAAGTTGATCTCGTTTGCTATGCAGTGTTTCTAGGCCTACAGTAAACTGTTATCAGTATATCTCCAGTAACTGACCATTATGACATCAATAAAGATTTTCACGAAATGTTTTATTAATGGTTTTGAGTTCGGATTATGGTTATAATTACATGTACCTTAATTTTTTACTGTTTCATATTTAATTGTTGCTATATATTGATGACTTGTGCAAGTCTCAAATATGTTGTATCTGTGTTTGTAAACAATGATCTAAAGGGTAAGTAAGCTTCTGCTGTCCTCGGTCATCCTTCCAGCTATAACTAAGAGTTTTTCTGCTATATTGTTTAACCATCTTCTTTCCTTGATTTAAAAGAAAGCTGTCAATTATATTTAACTGGAAACATCATAAGAAAGTCTCAGTTCAACATTGCACAGATGAGGGGGCTGACTACTAAAGGACAGAACCCATATGGAGTAATTTGTCATATTGCTTTAAGTATCTACTGTGGAACATCTGCACAGATGTAGTACTGTTGGTCATAAAGATCCAGGTGAGCAATACAGGCCCTCTGGGCCTCATGTTACTTAATTTAAAGCCATCAACAACGTTTAAATGTTTTAAAATTCTGAAGTCATGGAAATGGCCTGAGATTATTGATTTGAGACAGGTAGATTTCACTTCTTTTGTATTTTTTCAAGAGTCTCCATGTAAATATTTCTTTTTTCATATTTTGCCCTAGCCTTTTGGAATCATGCTTATGTTGCTTTGTTGGTGTTTTCTTGATGTTCTTTCCTGTCATTCCTACGTAATCATGAAATTGGCCTTTTTAGAATCTGTTAAATTTCCTCTTTTGGGTCCAGCCCCTGTGGCTGCAAGGGACCAGACCATTTATACAAAACTGTTTCTCCTTCTCTGAGGACACTTCTGAACGAATTTGGTCAAAACCCATACATTTATGACTAGTAGCAATTCATCGAAAAATAGTCGACTGATGGACAGCGGACGAGGCACCTCTGGGCCAGGTGAGCTTACTCAACACAATGCATGACTGCATTATCTGAAATGGCCTTTGAATAGTCATGTCAAAATACAAGCAACAATATTTGTATGATTATAGATAACTGAATTGTAATTGTATACAGCCAGATATTTGTATGACAAAATGACTTTTTGCCATATTCACTCATGAGTTGAAGGAGAAGGGTCACATCAGTTCAGAAAGAACATGGACAATACCCATGATGCAAGGATCCTTGATGTGTGGATGCGTGCACGGAATGCTGTTGGCCACATAAAAGGACCAAGGAAATCGGGAGGAACGGGGTTTAGAGTGGGCAAGAACTACATCATGACTGCGTACCATGTTGCAGAAGATCTCACAAGTATGATTAAATCTATAATATTGTCATCTTATATTGATTAAGGATTAACAGAGAGTAATTGCTATTCAGAGGGTTACTGGGCGGTATTACATTAATTAACCAATAAAACCGAACAAAATGAAATGAAACACACAGATCAAAGTCACATACTTGAGTCATAAAGGGAGAAACTCAATTTCAGTGATATAAATCTGAAAAAATCTGATTTTTTTACTTCCAGACTGGATCAGTGTAAAATGTCCAAAAACTATTGGAAAAATTATGTGCAAAGAAAGATATATTTTTTTTTTTGAATGTTTTGTTGTTTTGTAAACTTTACCAATGACAGTAATACGACAGAAGAAAGTAAGGTTATGTAGCCCAGTTGTTGTGATTGATGTTCAAACAATTTGTAATCTTCACATCATAATTTTTCTTATTCAATCAGACTTTACTTGGAAGACTGCTAAAGATAATTAATTTTCATGGGGTATTTATTTTAGCTGGTTACCTTAATCCCCTTAATCTATGAATTCATCTGTCTAAGGACTGATCAGACTAGTATAAGCTGCTTTCTTGAGTTATATTCAGCCATGAAATCAAGTGTTCATGAAAGGTTTTTTTTCACAACCATGAAAATAAAACCCAACAAAAATATGATTCTACAGTAAAACTTATTAAATGTTGCAATTTCTTTCCATCGTATTTAATTTTCCTCAATTCTTACATCACATCAAGTTTGCTATATTTACTGTGAAACAGATATCGTAATTTACTAAAAGCATTTTTCACCTACAATCTCATTACAACCGCATTTTTTTCAAAATTTGTTTCGATAATTAAAACTGTCCAATATAATTAGCGTGTAAATGAAAGCTGGTTTACATTAGAACAATAGTTCTGTTTTTCTGGAGATAACGCTTTATATATGATTATTTGTTGTTTTGTTGTTTCTGAAAGTATTTATAGATACATGTACATAAAGCATGCTGTTTAATTCCCTGTTTGGCTCCACTGTAATCAACTCTAAATCTGAATTAAAAGGTGTATGTTTTTTAATGTGATGACCTTTTTCTTTACAGAAAGATATAAAAGTGATGACGAAGACTGGTCAAAGCTTGATTCCAGAGAGGTTTCGATTGAGTTCCAGTTTCCTGAAGATAATGTTAAAAAATTTCATTTTGAACCTGACTTAATATATGGCTTGAAAGAACAAGATATTGCGATTTTACAACTGAAAGACAACTCTGAACCATTTCCTGATCCAATAAGAAGGTTTGGGAAAATTGACTACCATGAATCATTTGCTCTGTTGGGTTTCCCATGCAAACCAAATAACGAAATCATGCAATTTGATTCAGATATCAAGCTTTTCAATCTGGATAGTGATGCTAAGGAAGATCGTGTTCGACGTGAAAAAATGCTAAAAGATGACATAGTACAAGATGGATATGAAGGGATTGATAATAAAGAGAAAGTTCTGTTCGACTGCTGGGTACAGCATGGGGCCTCTGGATCCCCAGGAATTGTTATGAGTGAAGACGTAGAACCAGTCTGCACATTGATGTTGATACGTGGGTATCCTACATATGCTTTCAGTGGGAACATCTCAGTTCCATATGAAGAAATGATTGAGCAAGGTGTCAAAATGGAGGCGATTGCCAATCTACTTGGTCGTGGTGGGAAACGTTACAAGGAACTCAGAAATGAGATATTTGGTGATTCCTTCATGGTTAACTGAAACAAGGCAGCTCTCATGTGTTTCTTTATACAATTTGTGGCCAAGCTTTCATGAATGCTGCGGCACATATATACTGTATATAGAACTACTGTAAAGCAACAGGAGTCCAATTGTTATGCAAAACATTGGATTGAAAAGTAATCATGTGCCAGTTGTTAAGAATCATTCCTACAGAGACCTACTTATTTTGATGGAATCAGTGGTTTTTTTTTATATTTCTAAATCTTTTACACTTTTAGTGAGTGTTTAAACAACGTTTGTACTGTAAACAACCTTAATGTATCTTTATGTAAAGCAGCTTTGTTTTGCTGTTAAAAAAACTTTAAACTTTCAATTATCATATGGAATATCAAGTTTCAGTTCATTCTACTGTCATTTGATATGTCATGACATGACTGTTGCTACTGACAACCTGAACACTCAACAACAGGGTGTTGATCTCAACAAAAGGGTGTTGATCTCAACAACAGGGTGTTGATTGATGACACAACATAATGTCATGTTAAAGTGCTGTTGTATGTTTGCTATGTCATGTTAAAGTGCTGTTGTATGTTTGCTATGTCATGTTAAAGTGCTGTTGTATGTTTGCTATGTCATGTTAAAGTGCTGTTGTATGTTTGCTATGTCATGTTAAATTGCTGTTGTATGTTTGCCATGTCATGTTAAAGTGCTGTTGTATATTTGCCATGTCATGTTAAAGTGCTGTTGTATGTTTGCTATGTCATGTTAAAGTGCTGTTGTATGTTTGCTATGTCATGTTAAAGTGCTGTTGTATGTTTGCTATGTCATGTTAAAGTGCTGTTGTATGTTTGCTATGTCATGTTAAAGTGCTGTTGTTTGTTTGCTAAAACTTCTTTGTGTAATGTACCACCAGTCAACTTTTTTATATTGCTGGGGTGTTTTATACTTTTTACACTTGAATTATGAGGAGGCTGGAAGTTTGTAATTTTGATGAATATATATATATTTCAAATACATACTTTTGATAACCTTTTTTAAGTTCATCACAAAGAACAGTTTTATTGCTTAAAGGTAAAATTGTGGAGTAGAAAACCAAATGGAGACAATCATTTTTGCAGCATTTTCAATTAAACATGATGGTCAATATAATTTTATCAGAAATGATTTCTGACTGGCAAAGCCAATGAAAATCACTCTAATGTATCTGTACACAAAATATTCATAGTGGAATGGACTAGATAATAGGCAGTTGATGTGATAAATGTATACCTCCACAACAGGACCATATGATAATAACTATGATGTCAACAGGACCATATGATAATAAATATAACGTTAACAGGACCATATGACAATAACTATGACATCAACAGGACCATATGATAATAAATATAACGTTAACAGGACCATATGACAATAACTATGACGTCAACAGGACCATATGACAATAACTATGACGTCAACAGGACCATATGACAATAACTATGACGTCAACAGGACCATATGACAATAACTATGACATCAACAGGACCATATGACAATAACTATGATGTCAACAGGACCATATGATAATAACTATGACATCAAGAGGACCATATGACAATAACTATGACGTCAACAAGACCATATGACTGTAACTATGATGTCAACACGACCATATGATAATAACTATGACGTCAACAGGACCATATAACAATAACTATGACGTCAACAGGACCATATGACAATAACTATGACATCAAGAGGACCATATGACAATAACTATGACGTCAACAGGACCATATGACAATAACTATGACATCAAGAGGACCATATGACAATAACTATGACGTCAACAAGACCATATGACTATAACTATGATGTCAACACGACCATATGATAATAACTATGACGTCAACAGGACCATATAACAATAACTATGACGTCAACAGGACCATATACAGAATAGCTAGAAATGTTTTTGAAATCAAACAAATTATATTTCCACAAATGGAAAGTTTCAAATCTGGATGTAAAGGGCTATTTAATACTCATACACCTTATTTCATGAACAATATTACTACTATGATATCAATGTACTAAAAAACACCTAAAATGCCATCTCTATTAAAATAACTGGCTATACCGTACCCAGAGCAATATCAACACTTGTTTCATCAAACAGGATTATCTGCTCTAGTTTTCTACCCGAACTTAAGAGTGGCTTCGCACAAAAATGAAAAAAAAAAGTTTACCGAGCGTAGTCAATCAGAGAAACTTTATACAAATGTAGGTTATCAAGTATAGAAGTGATATCAACATTGAGGTTATTCACTTCTGTATTACAACATATTTATCTCAACATAATTGATCAAAATGATTGAATACAATTGTGAGTACTCATGATTAGAATTTTCATACCTTTATTACACATAAGTGCACATGGTTTACAAAGAAATTCAGGAAATTTAAGATTTTGTTAATGTTAGCAATTTTTAAACAAAAGTTTGCAAAGAGCAATAAGTTTGAAATCCAACATTTTTTTTCAAATCAGCAATGTACAGTACCTTATATATCAAATAAAGCAATAAAATTTAATTTTCTAACATTAAGTATTATGTTCTCCATTCTTATACTCCTCCATTACTCTACAAGTATCTCTGGTCTGTCTCATTTCCTGCATGAAAATCTGCTTAGTCAAGCTGTGGGATACAATGATTTGACACCTGTATACAGGTGACATGCGTCGTCCCACACACGGTCTCTGACTGATGTCTGAACAAGCTGTGGGATACAATGTCTTTCTCCAGATTTGACACCTGTATACAGGTGACATGCGTCATCCCACACACGGTCTCTCATTGATGTCTGAACAAGCTGTGGGATACAATGTCTTTCTCCAGATTTGACACCTGTATACAGGTGACATATGTCCATCCCACACACGGTCTCTCATTGATGTCTGAACAAGCTGTGGGATACAATGTCTTTCTCCAGATTTGACACCTGTATACAGGTGACATGCGTCGTCTCACACACGGTCTCTGACTGATGTCTGAACAAGCTGTGGGATACAATGTCTTTCTCCAGATTTGACACCTGTATATAGGTGACATGCATTGTCCCACACACGGTCTCTCACAGATGTCTGAACAAGCTGTGGGATACAATGTCTTATTCCAGATTTGACACCTGTATACAGGTGACATATGTCCGTCCCACACACGGTCTCTCACAGATGTCTGAACAAGCTGTGGGATACAATGTCTTATTCCAGATTTGACACCTGTATACAGGTGACATATGTCCGTCCCACACACGGTCTCTGACTGATGTCTGAACAAGCTGTGGGATACAATGTCTTTCTCCAGATTTGACACCTGTATACAGGTGACATGCATCGTCCCACACACGGTCTCTGACTGATGTCTGAACAAGCTGTGGGATACAATGTCTTTCTCCAGATTTGACACCTGTATACAGGTGACATGCGTCGTCCCACACACGGTCTCTGACTGATGTCTGAACAAGCTGTGGGATACAATGTCTTTCTCCAGATTTGACACCTGTATACAGGTGACATGCGTCGTCCCACACACGGTCTCTCACAGATGTCTGAACAAGTTGTGGGATACAATGTCTTATTGCAGATTTGACACCTGTATACAGGTGACATATGTCCGTCCCACACACGGTCTCTGACTGATGTCTGAACAAGCTGTGGGATACAATGTCTTTCTCCAGATTTGACACCTGTATACAGGTGACATGCATCGTCCCACACACGGTCTCTGACTGATGTCTGAACAAGCTGTGGGATACAATGTCTTTCTCCAGATTTGACACCTGTATACAGGTGACATGCGTCGTCCCACACACGGTCTCTGACTGATGTCTGAACAAGCTGTGGGATACAATGTCTTTCTCCAGATTTGACACCTGTATATAGGTGACATGCATCGTCCCACACACGGTCTCTCATTGATGTCTGAACAAGCTGTGGGATACAATGTCTTTCTCCAGATTTGACACCTGTATATAGGTGACATGCATCGTCCCACACACGGTCTCTCACAGATGTCTGAACAAGCTGTGGGATACAATGATTTGACACCTGTATACAGGTGACATGCGTCGTCCCACACACGGTCTCTGACTGATGTCTGAACAAGTTGTGGGATACAATGTCTTTCTCCAGATTTGACACCTGTATACAGGTGACATGCATTGTCCCACACACGGTCTCTGACTGATGTCTGAACAAGTTGTGGGATACAATGTCTTTCTCCAGATTTGACACCTGTATACAGGTGACATGCGTCGTCCCACACACGGTCTCTCATTGATGTCTGAACAAGCTGCGGGTTACAATGTCTTATTCCAGATTTGACACCTGTATACAGGTGACATATGTCCATCCCACACACGGTCTCTCACAGATGTCTGAACAAGCTGTGGGATACAATGTCTTTCTCCAGATTTGACACCTGTTTACAGGTGACATGCGTCGTCCCACACGCCGTCTCTTACTGATGTCTGAACAAGCTGTGGGATACAATGTCTTTCTCCAGATTTGACCCCTGTATACAGGTGACATGCGTCGTCCCACACACGGTCTCTCATTGATGTCTGAACAAGCTGTGGGATACAATGTCTTTCTCCAGATTTGACACCTGTATACAGGTGACATGCGTCGTCCCACACGCCGTCTCTTACTGATGTCTGAACAAGCAGTGGGATACAATGTCTTTCTCCAGATTTGACACCTGTATACAGGTGACATGCGTCATCCCACACGCCGTCTCTTACTGATGTCTGAACAAGTTGTGGGATACAATGTCTTTCTCCAGATTTGACACCTGTATACAGGTGACATGCGTCCCACACACGGTCTCTCACAGATGTCTGAACAAGCTGTGGGATGCAATGTCTTTCTCCAGATTTGACACCTGTATACAGGTGACATATGTCCATCCCACACACGGTCTCTGACTGATGTCTGAACAAGTTGTGGGATACAATGCCTTATTCCAGATTTGACACCTGAATACAGGTGACATATGTCGTCCCACACACACGATGTCTCTGGGATACAATGATGTCTGTAACAAGCTGTCTGAACAAGCTGCAGGTTACAATGTCTTATTCCAGATTTGACACCTGTATACAGGTGACATATGTCCATCCCACACACGGTCTCTCACAGATGTCTGAACAAGCTGTGGGATACAATGCCTTATTCCAGATTTGACACCTGAATACAGGTGACATGCGTCGTCCCACACACGGTCTCTGACTGATGTCTGAACAAATTGTGGGATACAATGTCTTATTCCAGATTTGACACCTGTATACAGGTGACATGCATCGTCCCACACGCCGTCTCTTACTGATGTCTGAACAAGCTGCAGGTTACAATGTCTTTCTCCAGATTTGACCCCTGTATACAGGTGACATATGTCCATCCCACACACGGTCTCTGACTGATGTCTGAACAAGTTGTGGGATACAATGTCTTATTGCAGATTTGACACCTGTATACAGGTGACATGCGTCGTCCCACACACGGTCTCTCATTGATGTCTGAACAAGCTGCGGGTTACAATGTCTTATTCCAGATTTGACACCTGTATACAGGTGACATATGTCCATCCCACACACGGTCTCTCACTGATGTCTGAACAAGCAGTGGGATACAATGTCTTTCTCCAGATTTTAAACACAGCCTTTCACGTGTATACAGGTGATATTTTACACACAGCCTTTCACCTGTATACAGGTGACATTTTACACACAGCCTTTCACTACAATATATCTTTCTCTGTTGCCTGCTTGTGGGCTATATATAAAAATCCAATACTTGACAAAGCACTGACAAGGAATATGACATCGAACCAACGGTGATAGAAGTTGAATTGGAGATCTCCCAGCACCTCTGTAATGATCGACCTGGAACACAAATAAAGAACAACACTATTTAGCTCTCTTTAATGGCACATGCAACACAAGAGTAAAGTGTGCCTATTGTTCAAAAGAGTTCCACAGAAAAAGACGACTTTCATGCAGAGAGTTCAGCAACAAGTCAGTCGTGTATCACTGCCCTCATCAACTGCCAATAGTATGGAAATAAACACATGTAATGTAAAAAGAATTGAGATTGTCTTCCCTTATAACAAGGTAAAACTGAGAATGATAATTATGAGCATTAAATTACTTTTGATTGATATTACTGGGTATTATGAATGCCAACAGGAAAAAGACAAGTTTAGCATGAAGCACTAACCAGTCCTATACTGTTCGCATTCATTTAAGCCCAGTGACATCACCTGAATAGGGTTTTATTTTATCAAAAACATTAAAATTGGCAAACAAAGAAGAACCATGTTTCAAAATGCAAACACATGAAAGTGTTGGAAGTTCAACATGTAACAAAGAACATCATCTTTTTTGCCAGGTTATTGTGACTGAACAAAAATAGAGTCATTTGATTCATAAGCCCAATCAAGCGAATCCAAACTTGTTTACTGAAATACATGTTACTTTATTTACTTGTTAATTAACAAATTGTAATTTAAATCTCCACTAATACATGAACCAATAGCATCCTTCCTATCAGGACAGAGAATTAATATGGAAGCAAAAAAATTTCTTTAAGCTCACTTAAAATATAAAAAACATCAAATCCAGATAATATATGGTGAATCTACATTAGAATAATATTTATTAAAATGAATAACCTAATGAAACATGCCTTATTTTATTGAGAAATCTGAGAATATAGAAACCTGGGACTGTCAGAGAAATCACAGCCTGGGACTGTCAGAGAAATCATAGCCTGGGGATGTCAGAGAAATCATAGCCTGGGACTGTCAGAGAAATCATAGCCTGGGGATGTCTGAGAATATAGAAACCTGGGACTGTCAGAGAAATCATAGCCTGGGACTGTCAGAGAAATCACAGCCTGGGACTGTCAGAGAAATCATAGCCTGGGACTGTCAGAGAAATCATAGCCTGGGGATGTCAGAGAAATCATAGCCTGGGACTGTCAGAGAAATCATAGCCTGGGGATGTCAGAGAAATCATAGCCTGGGACTGTCAGAGAAATCATAGCCTGGGGATGTCAGAGAAATCATAGCCTGGAACTGTCGGAGAAATCATAGCCTGGGACTGTCAGAGAAATCATAGCCTGGGATTGTCAGAGAAATCATAGCCTGGGACTGTCAGAGAAATCATAGCCTGGGACTGTCAGAGAAATCATAGCCTGGAGATGTCAGAGAAATCATAGCCTGGGACTGTCAGAGAAATCATAGCCTGGGACTGTCAGAGAAATCATAGCCTGGGACTGTCAGAGAAATCATAGCCTGGGACTGTCAGAGAAATCATAGCCTGGGACTGTCAGAGAAATCATAGCCTGGAGATGTCAGAGAAATCATAGCCTGGGACTGTCAGAGAAATCATAGCCTGGGACTGTCAGAGAAATCATAGCCTGGGACTGTCAGAGAAATCATAGCCTGGAGATGTCAGAGAAATCATAGCCTGGGACTGTCAGAGAAATCATAGCCTGGGATTGTCAGAGAAATCATAGCCTGGGACTGTCAGAGAAATCATAGCCTGGGGATGTCAGAGAAATCATAGCCTGGGACTGTCAGAGAAATCATAGCCTGGGGATGTCAGAGAAATCATAGCCTGGGACTGTCAGAGAAATCATAGCCTGGGGATGTCAGAGAAATCATAGCCTGGGACTGTCAGAGAAATCATAGCCTGGGGATGTCAGAGAAATCATAGCCTGGAACTGTCGGAGAAATCATAGCCTGGGACTGTCAGAGAAATCATAGCCTGGGACTGTCAGAGAAATCATAGCCTGGGGATGTCAGAGAAATCATAGCCTGGGACTGTCGGAGAAATCATAGCCTGGGACTGTCGGAGAAATCATAGCCTGGGCATGTCGGAGAAATCATAGCCTGGGACTGTCAGAGAAATCATAGCCTGGGACTGTCAGAGAAACCATAGCCTGGGAATGTCAGAGAAACCATAGCCTGGGACTGTCAGAGAAATCATAGCCTGGGACTGTCCGAGAAATCATAGCCTGGGACTGTCAGAGAAATCATAGCCTGGGACTGTCAGAGAAATCATAGCCTGGGACTGTCAGAGAAATCATAGCCTGGGACTGTCAGAGAAATCATAGCCTGGGACTGTCAGAGAAATCATAGCCTAGGACTGTCAGAGAAATCATAGCCTGGGACTGTCAGAGAAATCATAGCTGGGACTGTCAGAGAAATCATAGCTAGGGGATGTCAGAGAAATCATAGCCTGGGACTGTCAGAGAAATCATAGCCTGGGGATGTCAGAGAAATCATAGCCTGGGACTGTCAGAGAAATCATAGCCTGGGGATGTCAGAGAAATCATAGCCTGGGGATGTCAGAGAAATCATAGCCTGGGGATGTTAGAGAAATTATGGCCTGGGGATGTCTGAGGAACAATACTCTAAGGACGACAGAGGGATTACACCCTGCAGGTGACTACTGATATTATACCCTAGGAACGATCGAGATGTATTAAAAAATTGGGTTTAAATTTGAAACAAAATTTAATTATTTCTACTGCAGAAAGATTTTAAAATATTCCCTATACATTCCCTGTTCCAAAGACCCCAACAAGCAGGTCCTAGATAGGACATGGGGCAAGATCCACCATTTGTAATAAATACAAAATAGGTTCCCAAACACTAAGGATGCCTCTGACAGAATTGGGTCAAAACCTTGTTAACTGTAAATGACTGGTAAACAATTTGTAGATAAAGTTGATGGATGAATGACAGGCTAAATGAAAGAAATGTCAAATTTTCATAAGGCAGGTTACAGCATTGCCACATGTAACAGCCTGTACTGACTTCACTTTTGTAAAATAAACAGTCATTCTAATGATCCCTGATGTCTTACCTGTACTGCGCTGGCATATTCATCCGGATGAGAAGGACCGAGGATACAAAATACATCCCCTGTTTGAAGAATTTAAACAACTTATCATTTGAATTATCCTTGTTTGATTCTAATTTGGTACAGTAACTTGTCAAATTCAAAATTTCAGAAGACTTTGGTGTTCAGCGCTAACACTTCCTATAAAACATATATACATATATATTATTTTGAAATTTTTGAAATTTTTACATATGTAATTTAAGAAAGATCAATCAAGTACTTTCCAAGTCAAAATCCAAGATGGCCACCTTTCAGCCACTTCGTTATTCTGATCTTTCCCAAAACAACAAGGGCACAACAAGAGACCAAGAGAAATCTACATATAAAATTTGAGAAATAGCGATAACAAATTTTATTGAAAAAATCAAAGATGGCTGTCTGTCAGTCATTTTGTTTTTTGATCAGTCCAAAAATCCAACGGCCACAACTAGGGACCAAGAGGAACCTACATTTGCAATAAAAGAAAGATCCATACAATACTTCTCAAGAAATAGCAATAACAAATATTGTTAACGGATGGGCGAAGGACCACAGATGCAGAAAAACACCATGGCAGATATAGATGGAGAGAAAACAATATCTCACTACTCAGTCTTAGAATAGTAATACTGGAATATCATCAGCAGGAAACATGCCCATACTGAGCTGTAATAACATTTAAGCAAGAGTTTTTCCAATGTTGGTTCATACTGCTATATCTACCATTGTATGGGTTTGCTACGATGTAACTTTACCAACATCAATTGTGTATTACCAGCTCAGGAACATCTCAAGTTATGTAAACAAACTGAAGTAGCACGTATTGAAGAAGAAATATTGAAAATGATAAATATTTACTGTTGATCTTAGACGACATTTCTGTGCATTATGAACACCAACTGGATGGATAAAAGCACATTCAACATGGGGCAAATTTTCTGTCATGCTGTTGGCATTTATATGCTTATGAATGACAACCAAAAGAAGTTCAAAGACCAGTAGCAACACACTTACCATTATCATGGCGAGACAGAGAACTATTATATTGGAGGACTTGCTACTGGCAATGGCATAGAAAAACTGTAAATAAACAAAGATGAAATTATTTGTAAACACAATCAATAAACAAATATTTATCTTTTAAAACCTTTTAAGGCATACAACCTAATAAAAACTGTGTATACAGTCATTTCCGTGTATCATCATCATAAGTTTATCAATAAAGTATACTCACTCTAGTAAGGGTTAGCAGAAGACCTCTGATAGACGTTATAATGATGATTCCAATCAGGACAAAGGATATCTGTTGTGCCCAGAATGTTACCTGTAAAGAGTAAAGACAGAAACATCAGTAGGCTCGAGATTTTGTTGTTCTGCATGAATTTAAAACTAAATTCAGTTTACAACAATTGTGAAACAAGTTATTCCAACTTATACTAATCCCCATTGTTGGCCCAGATGGAAGCAGTGAGGGGTCTAAATGTGGAAGGAAACTGGAGTGCTGGGGGAAAATCCACATAGTTGAGCAGGTGATCCCAAATTTTGTTTACGCTCATTTTGGTAAGTGAACTCCAGACACATGGGTGAAAGGTGAGTGGATTACCACTGTGCAACCCAAAACTTGGTCAGTGGGAATTAATTAAGCTTCTATGATACTTAAGTATAATGTGAAACTTCTACGAAGTTTTACTTTCACTGGTTTTGATCTTTGACCTAGGCAATAATAAGGAGCTGGTGTTAAAGCTATATATGTGGTTAAATACCAGACAAAATTGAAAAATTTCATAAAAGGGCAGAAAAAAAAAGTCTGGATGAATGTTTCCTGGTTTACAAAGAGTAGTAATTGTAAAAATAGTTTGATATACATAAAAAAGTCTTTTTCATTTTATGATGAAGTTGTTAACATATATAACAAGAGGCCCAAGGGGCCTGCATCACAAACATAAAATTACATGTTAGTTTTAATTCTTCGAGCTTTATTACACAGATCATATGGTAGAAGAGATTCTGCCTTGAAAGGAATTGGTTCTTGACATGTTTAATTACTTGTACAAGTAAGTTGAGGGACTTATTTAGCATCTGTCATTTTTACTGTCGAAGGTAATTATAGTTTATAAATATATAAAATTTGGAACTATCCAGATTTCTCACAAAACTGACAGAAGGCAACTGATCCATTACTGACTGTTAATACTGAAATAATTGATTGTATACTTACATCAAACTGGATTCCAAAGAAATTGACTGCTATTTCTATTCCTCTGGTGATTGGGTCCACCCTACCCACTCTATCAAAGATGATGTTGACTGTCGACTGTAATATAACAAATTTTAGGACATCAGAACCAGGTATAGAACAGGAAATATCTAGTACGGCAATGTCTTGTAATAATTTCTTATCTACAATTTACATGATATTAAATTTATTACTGAAGTATTTCTGACTTCAGTTGGTTTCTTTTTAAAATTCTGCCATAGAAACCATTCAAAATGTACATTGCAAATCTTTGACAGAAAATTCCTTATTTTGGAACCAGAGAAAAGACTTATCGTACTGTTATTTATAAAATTTAGATATCAAATTACTGATAACGGTCAGTAACTAAATCTTGAGTCTGAAATAAGCTGAAATTTTTATTTCTTTTTTTTCTCCTTTATTTCCTTTTTTCAGTTTTATGTCCTTAGAGAAATGTAAACTAACTCAGAATTTTGGCAATCAAAGACATAATTACAAGTTGGAAATTCCTAGATTGAGAAATGTTTTTTAATAAATCAACATTATGTGAAATATTTCCTTTGTCATTCAATACTCACAATGAAGATTTTCCACACGCAGTATATTGAAAAAAAATATCCGAGAAAATTAAAATATTTCCCTTTAAATGTCTTTGAATAAGCAATCCTCTCCTGAGAAAAAATAGAAAAAGATGAAAAGAGTTTTCTACACACACCACTCAGCAAATAAAAATGATTGAATTGTGTGTTTTCATAATACAGAGTTATCAGCTCTTGTGTTAGGTATTCATTGTTATGTGATTTGATTGTGAGAAATGAACATCATAAATCATGAGAAAATTTTTTCCTCACACAAACAAATGATCTGCTAACAAGAGCAGATAACTCTACATTTCGAAAAGACAAAATGGTTACCCTTTAACAAAAGTTTCTTAAGATGAAAAATATCAAGAAACTTTTCATCCAATTCCACACGCTATATGGAATTATTGGTGAAAATAAATTTATCTCAACATTGTTCCTTTCAGTAACATCAGTAAGACCTCATATTTACCTCATCAAAGTGATGCCATCTTACGATAATTTTACAAAAACAGGTTGTTTTGTACCCACAACAAACAACCATTGAGACAGCTGTAATCACTACAAAACATACGTGTCAAGCTCTAAATTTCAAATAAACAACAAATTGGGGGTATTATGTCTTTAAAATGTGATGTTACATAATACCAAAATTTACCTGTGACAGTAGATGTCACTCAAGGTGTACAAAATTTACCTGTAACAGTAGATATAACTTAAGGTGTACACAATTTACCTGTGACAGTAGATGTCACTCAAGGTGTACACAATTACCTGTGACAGTAGATATAACTTAAGATGTACATAATTTACCTGTGACAGTAGATGTCACTCAAGGTGTAAAAATTTACCTGTGACAGTAGATGTCACTTAAGGTGTAAAAATTTACCTGTGACAGTAGATGTCACTTAAGGTGTAAAAATTTACCTGTGACAGTAGATGTCACTTAAGGTGTACAAAATTTACCTGTGACAGTAGATATCACACAAGGTGTACACAATTTACCTGTGACAGTAGATATAACTTAAGGTGTACACAATTTACCTGTGACAGTAGATGTCACTCAAGGTGTACAAAATTTACCTGTGAAAGTAGATATAACTTAAGGTGTACACAATTTACCTGTGACAGTAGATGTCACTCAAGGTGTACAAAATTTACCTGTGACAGTAGATGTCACTTAAGGTGTAAAAATTTACTTGTGACAGTAGATGTCACTCAAGGTGTACACAATTTACCTGTGACAGCAGATGTCACTCTAGGCTACCTGTGACAGTAGATATCACACAAGGTGTACACAATTTACCTGTGACAGCAGATGTCACTCTAGGCTACCTGTGACAGTAGATATCACACAAGGTGTACACAATTTACCTGTGACAGCAGATGTCACTCTAGGCCATTGGCAGTAGAAAACATTCACTATGATGATCTAAATTTATCTTTGGCAGCAGAATTTGTATGACACACCAAACATACCTGAGCATAGTGAAGATCCACACTTTCAAGGAACAACTGCCTGCTGAGTTCTTCTAAAGCTGCAGTGTCCTGCTTCAATAAACCAATATCTGGTAAGTCAAGGGACATAATCTGCAATACTTTATAATTTGTCTAAGAGCTTAATCAGAGGAATGTGGAATAAACTTTACAACAAATTCTGTAGCAGGTGCTGTTGACACCAACAGCCAAGGTTATATGAAACCTTGTGTCTTGACAGACACCAACAGCCAGGGTTATATGAAACCTTGTGTCTTGACAGACACCAACAGCCAGGGTTATATGAAACCTTGTGTCTTCACAGACACCAACAGCCAGGGTTATATGAAACCTTGTGTCTTGACAGACACCAACAGCCAGGGTTATATGAAACCTTGTGTCTTGACAGACACCAACAGCCAGGGTTATATGAAACCTTGTGTCTTGACAGACACCAACAGCTAGGGTTATATGAAACCTTGTGTCTTGACAGACACCAACAGCCAGGGTTATATGAAACCTTGTGTCTTGACAGACACCAACAGCCAGGGTTATATGAAACCTTGTGTCTTCACAGACACCAACAGCCAGGGTTATATGAAACCTTGTGTCTTCACAGACACCAACAGCCAGGGTTATATGAAACCTTGTGTCTTGACAGACACCAACAGCCAGGGTTATATGAAACCTTGTGTCTTGACAGACACCAACAGCCAGGGTTATATGAAACCTTGTGTCTTGACAGACACCAACAGCCAGGGTTATATGAAACCTTGTGTCTTGACAGACACCAACAGCCAGGGTTATATGAAACCTTGTGTCTTGACAGACACCAACAGCCAGGGTGATATGAAACCTTGTGTCTTGACAGACACCAACAGCCAGGGTTATATGAAACCTTGTGTCTTGACAGACACCAACAGCCAGGGTTATATGAGGCCTAGTGTCTAGGCCAACACTAACAGTCAGGGTTATATGAGAAATGGTGTCTAGGCCAACACTAACAGCCATGGTTATATGAGGCCTGGCGTCTAGGCCAACACTAACAGCCAGGGTTATATGATGAATGGTGCCTACACAGACAACAACAGCCAGGGTTATATGAGGACTGGTGTCTAGGCCAACACTAACAGCCATGGTTATATGAGGCCTGGCGTCTAGGCCAACATTAACAGCCAGGGTTATATGATGAATGGTGCTTACACAGACACTAACAGTCAGGGTTATATGAGGCCTGGTGTCTAGGCCAACATTAACAGTCAGGGTTATATGAGGAATGGTGTCTAGGCCAACATTAACAATCTGGGTTATATGAGGAATGGTGTCTAGGCCAACATTAACAGTCTGGGTTATATGAGGCCTGGTGTCTAGGCCAACATTAACAGTCAGGGTTATATGAGGAATGGTGCTTACACAGACACTAACAGCCATGGTTATATGAGGAATGGTGCTTACACAGACACTAACAGTCAGGGTTATATGAGGCCTGGTGTCTAGGCCAACATTAACAGTCTGGGTTATATGAGGCCTGGTGTCTAGGCCAACATTAACAGTCAGGGTTATATGAGGAATGGTGCTTACACAGACACTAACAGCCATGGTTATATGAGGAATGGTGCTTTCACAGACACTAACAGTCAGGGTTATATGAGGCCTGGTGTCTAGGCCAACATTAACAGTCATGGTTATATGAAGAATGGTGCTTACACAGACACTAACAGTCAGGGTTATATGAGGCCTGGTGTCTAGGCCAACACTAACAGTCAGGGTTATATGAGGCCTGGTATCTAGGCCAACACTAACAGTCAGGGTTATATGAGGCCTGGTGTCTAGGCCAACATTAACAGTCAGGGTTATATGAGGCCTGGTGTCTAGGCCAACACTAACAGTCAGGGTTATATGAGGCCTGGTGTCTAGGCCAACATTAACAGTCAGGGTTATATGAGGCCTGGTGTCTAGGCCAACATTAACAGTCTGGGTTATATGAGGCCTGGTGTCTAGGCCAACATTAACAGTCAGGGTTATATGAGGCCTGGTGTCTAGGCCAACATTAACAGTCAGGGTTATATGAGGAATGGTGCTTACACAGACACTAACAGTCAGGGTTATATGAGGCCTGGTGTCTAGGCCAACATTAACAGTCTGGGTTATATGAGGAATGGTGCTTACACAGACACTAACAGTCAGGGTTATATAACAGCCATGGTTATATGAGGCCAACATTAACAGTCAGGGTTATATGATGGTGCTATATCACAGCCAACATTAACACTGGGTTATATGACTAGGCCAACAACAGTCAGGGTTATATGAGGCCTGGTGTCTAGGCCAACATTAACAGTCAGGGTTATATGAGGCCTGGTGCTAACAGTAACAGCCATGGTTATATGAGGAATGGTGCTGGGTTATTACACAGACACATTAACAGTCTGGGTTATATGAGGCCTGGTGTCTAGGCCAACATTAACAGTCTGGGTTATATGAGGCCTGGTGTCTAGGCCAACACTTACAGTCAGGGTTATATGAGGCCTGGTGTCTAGGCCAACATTAACAGTCAGGGTTATATGAGGCCTGGTGTCTAGGCCAACATTAACAGTCTGGGTTAATAAGCATACGCAGACACCAACAGAAGAATAAGAATGACAGAGTAGACAGGAAAGAAAGAAAAGATCAAGATTCCAAAAGGATTCACTTTGATTTTCAGAGTTCCTTAAAGACTTGTGATGCAGCAGACGTGGTTGTATAGAAATCACCATGTGACAGTTACTTCTGAAGTGACATTGTAGATAAAGGATACTCTCTGAGGACCCTGTCGCTGCCGATGTTACAGTTTTCAGCATGCCCCACAAACCACCTTGGCTCTTGTTCACTGTAGCCTGACGCAGACTTTCCTCCTTTGCCTTGGCTATCCTTTAACAACAAAAAGTACTACAGGTAAAGATATTTTACTTTCACCAAACCATATTTATTCTAATATAAACACCTCTCCTAATTTAAGATGCTTTTTCCTTTTATGACTGACCATGTAGTAGAATAAATCTCTCTAAGTGTGTATAGTTTAATCTAGAGTAAAGAACTTAAAATTTCAAAACAAATTAATAATACTTCAAACAAAATGAACACAATTTAATTTTTTTCAATTGAAATCGTCTAAATCTACAGTATCGTTAATGTGAGTCTTGGACTGTCCAACGAGTTCCATTACTTTGAAAAATTTAACGTCCTGGCCATCTATCAATAAATTTCCTTTTGTTGAAAAAGTTACTACACATGTCTGGTCTTTATCATTATCTTATTTGAGAAAATTGACAAACTTATTCTGTAATTATTACAATATTGTAAACTCAGTAATTCTGTGGATCAGATTTATTTTGTATTACTGAGCTTGGTTACTTCGGGAGTGGAGGAACGATCTGAATCAGCAGATCTTGTGTATTGACATATTCAACCTCTGGTAGCAAGTGGTCCTACACAGACACCACCATCACTTGGTCTGTATTTGTTCTTTAAACATTAGATCTATTCCCTTCTTAAGTATTCTTTCCTTTGTTATCCAAGACGACCCTTTGTCTGTCTTTTTTTCATTAGTCCAAAAAATTAAAAGGATACAACTGCTGATCAATGGAAAACCATATTAAATTTGAGAAAGAACCATCTAGTACTTCTCAAGAAATAATGATATTAAGCTTTCATTGTAAAAATACAAGATGGCCACCTGTCAGCCATTTTAGTTTTCTAATCTGTCCCAAAATCAACATGGCACAACTTCAGACCAATGATAACCTGGTTATGAAATCTGAGTAAGATCCATCCAGTATTTCGTAAGAAATAAAGTAAATATAATTTCATTATCAACGATGGTCACTGGTCAACAATATTGTTCACAATCAAAATAGCACAACAACAACAATAACAACACAGAGGAAACCTATATATGAGATTAGGGAGAGATCCATCAAGTACCCCTACAGAAAAAACTACCATAGTACCTATTACACTATATTTAGTCTAGTGCTACTGTGAACTTGTGATTTATGATGACAGATGTTATTATTTTTATATAGATGATAATATAACTTAACTGTATTAAAACATTCGAAATTTATTTTATTTGTTTGTTGTTTTTATCTCTAAACTATCATATATGACGACGATTCTTATATATAACTATGTGAAGGGAGGTAATCCAATATGGTGGATGCAGAACTCAGGAATGACAACCCCAGGAATGGCATGTTCCTGCGTATAGTGCATACCCCCTTTTTGACACGACAGTTTTAGCTTAAAAAAGTGTGTACTATATGCAGAAATTTACGGTATGAAATATCATGACAGTGAAAAAGCAAGATATTGTTTTTCTGATCAATCTCAAAATATACACAACTAGGGACCAGGTGGAATCTGCACATACAATTTGAGAAAGATCTATCAACTACTTCTCCGGAATTGGCACTAATATCATTACAATAAAAATCCAAGATGGCTACCTATCAGCCTTATCCGATTTTAGATCAGACTCTGAATGAGACAATGCACAACTAGGGACTAAGATGATCCATCCAATTATTATTGAGAAATACTGATAGCTATTACTTTTAAAATCTTAGGTAAGTTATAGGAAGCTATTTTTATGGGTTTTTTTCATCCAAAAATGAAACAGGGCTCAACTAGAAACCAAAGGCAACTTACATATGAAGAAAATGCTTCATCCATTGCTTCGAAGAGCAATAACCATAACACCATAACACTTCCTTCGAAAATTTGTTTCCAAAATGAGATATGAAATGATTGAAAAAAAAGCTCTGAAAGAGTCTTCTGTATGTCCAGGGAAGTGACCACCAGCTTCTCCTAGACCAAGCCTCAAAACTTTATATCTACTGATGGGGTGACATTACCCACACAGAAACAAACAAGCAAACAATGCTGTGTATGTTGTCTGGTGACTTCTCCGTTGGTGTACGGGATATATTAAGTTTAACATATCTATCTGATTATGGATCCATATCTGTCAATATGGCTGACAGGGGGCCATTTTTTATTTTGTCTATGAAAATTTGTAATTGCTATTTCACGAGAGGATTGTTGCCTCCAGAATCTGACTACAGTTCATTCTGATGGCTGTCAAGAGAATAAGTAATTAAAACATAGCACTACAAATACTATAGTATACATGTAACAAAGCTATAAGGCTTTAACACAGCTCTACAGATACTATAGTATACTTGTAACACAGCTATAAGGCTTTAACACAGCTCTACAGATACTATAGTATACATGTAACACAGCTATAAGGCTTTAACACAGCTCTACAGATACTATAGTATACTTGTAACACAGCTATATGTCTTTAACACAGCTCTACAGATACTATAGTATACTTGTAACACAGCTATATGTCTTTAACACAGCTCTACAGATACTATAGTATACATGTAACAAAGCTATAAGGCTTTAACTCAGCTCTACAGATACTATAGTATACTAACTTGTTGGATGGTCACAAACCTTTTCTTTTTAAGAATGATCATATCCATGGTTTGTATAAGTCTTTTTTCTATAGAATGGATATCAGCATCTGTCACATTTCTGAAATAGGACATATAAGCAATATATGATATATATATAGAATTAATATCAGTGTGTCACATTTCTGAAATAGGACATATAAGCAATATATGATATATATATAGAATGAATATCAGCGTGTCACATTTCTGAAATAGGACGTATAAGCAATATATGCTATATATAATATTGAATTTGCTTCATATTACGGACAGATGGAGAAAGATGTGTTTAGACAACACAACACTTCATAATGTATTATTACACTCCATGATATATAACTACACTCTAAAATATATCACTACACTCTAAAATATATCACTACACTTTATGATATATCACTACACTCTAAAATATATCACTACACTCTAAAATATATCACTACACTTTATGATATATCACTACACTCTAAAATATATCACTACACTCTAAAATATATCACTACACTCTAAAATATATCACTACACTCCAAAAATATATCACTACACTAAAATATATCACTACACTCTAAAATATATCACTACACTCTAAAATATATCACTACACTCTAAAATATATCACTACACTCTAAATATATCACTACTCTAAAATATATCACTACACTCTAAAATATAAAATATATCACTACACTCTAAAATATATCACTACACTACACTCTAAAATATATCACTACACTCTAAAATATCTAAAATATATCACTACACTCTAAAATATATCACTACACTCTAAAATATATCACTACACTCTAAAATATATCACTACACTCTAAAATATAAACTCTAAAATATATCACTACACTTTATGATATATCACTACACTATAAAATATATCACTACACTCTAAAATATATCACTACACTCTAAAATATATCACTACACTCTAAAATATATCACTACACTCTAAAATATATCACTACACTCTAAAATATATCACTACACTTTATGATATATCACTACACTCTAAAATATATCACTTCACTCTAAAATATATCACTACACTCCAAAATATATCACTACACTCTAAAATATATCACTACACTTTATGATATATCACTACACTCTAAATATATATACACTCTAAAATATATCACTACACTCTAAAATATATCACTACACTCTAAAATATATCACTACACTCTGATATATCACTACACTTTATGATATATCACTACACTCTAAAATATATCACTACACTCTAAAATATATCACTACACTCTAAAATATATATCACTACACTCTAAAATATATCACTACACTCTAAAATATATACTCTAAAATATATCACTACACTCTAAAATATATCACTACACTCCAAAATAGATCACTACACTCTAAAATATATCACTACATCTAAAATATATCACTACACTCTAAATATATATACACTAAAATATATCACTACACTTTATGATATATCACTACACTTTATGATATATCACTACACTTTATGATATATAACTACACTCTGAAATATATCACTACACTCTAAAATATATCACTACACTCTAAAATATATCACTACACTCTCACATCTATCACTACAGGTTATGATATATCACTACACTCTACACTTTATGATATATCACTACACTCTAAAATATATCACTACACTGATATATCACTACACTCTAAAATATATCACTACACTCTAAATGATATATCATGATATATCACTACACTCTAAAATATATCACTACACTTAATGATATATCACTAAAATATATCACTACATACTCTAAAATATATCACTACACTTTAAAATATATATACACTAAAATATATCACTACACTCTAAAATATATCACTACACTCTAAAATATATCACTACACTTAATGATATATCACTACACTTTATGATATATCACTACACTCTAAAATATATCACTACACTCTAAAATATATCACTACACTCTAAAATATATCACTACACTTTAAAATATATCACTACACTAAAATATATCACTACACTACACTTAATGATATATCACTACACTTATATATACTTTATGATATATCACTACACTCTAAAATATATCACTACACTTTAAAATATATCACTACACTCTAAAATATATCACTACACTACACTCTAAAATATATCACTACACTTAAAATATATATATCTAAAATATATCTACACTCTAAAATATATCACTACACTTTATGATATATCACTACACTCTAAAATATATATCACTCTAAAATATATCACTACACTCTAAATATATACACTACACTTAAAATATATGATATATCACTACACTCTAAAATATATCACTACACTCTAAAATATATAACTACACTTTATGATATATCACTACACTCTAAATATATATCACTTTATGATATACACTCTAAAATATATCACTACACTCTAAAATATATATACACTCTAAAATATATCACTTTATGATATATCACTACACTCTAATATATATATCACTACACTCTAAAATATATCACTACACTCTATGATATATCACTACACTCTAAAATATATCACTACACTCTAAAATATATCACTACACTCTATGATATATCACTACACTCTAAAATATATCACTACACTCTATGATATATCACTACACTCTAAAATATATGATATATTTATGATATATCACTACACTCTAAAATATATATCACTACACTCTAAAATATATCACTACACTCTAAAATATATCACTACACTCTAAATATATATCACTACAAATATATCACACACTTTATGATATATCACTACACTCTAAAATATATCACTACACTCTAAAATATATCACTAAATATATCACTACACTCTAAAATATATCACTACACTCTAAATGATATATCACTACACTCTAAAATATATCACTACACTCTAAAATATATCACTACACTCTAAAATATATCACTACACTTTAAAATATATCACTACACTCTAAAATATATCACTACACTTTATGATATATCACTACACTCTAAAATATATCACTACACTTTATGATATATATCACTACACTCTAAAATATATATATACACTCTAAAATATATCACTACACTCTAAAATATATCACTACACTCTAAAATATATCACTACACTCTATGATATATCACTACACTCTAAAATATATCACTACACTCTTAAAATATATCACTACACTTTAATATATCACTACACTCTAAAATATATCACTACACTCTAAAATATATCACTACACTCTAAAATATATCACTACACTCTAAATGATATATCACTACACTACACTCTAAAATATATCACTACACTAAAATATATCACTAAAATATATCACTACACTCTAAAATATATCACTACACTAAAATATATTACTCTAAAATATATCACTACACTTTATGATATATCACTACACTCTAAAATATATCACTACACTCTAAAATATATCACTACACTTTATGATATATCACTACACTCTAAAATATATCACTACACTCTAAATTCTATCACTACACTCTAAAATATATCACTACACTTTTATGATATATCACTACACTCTAAAATATATCACTACACTCTAAAATATATCATACACTCTAAAATATATACTACACTAAAATATATCACTACACTCTAAAATATATCACTACACTCTAAAATATATCACTACACTCTAAAATATATCACTACACTTTATGATATATCACTACACTCTAAAATATATCACTACTCTAAAATATATCACTACACTCTAAAATATATCACTACACTAAAATATATATCACTCTAAAATATATCACTACACTCTAAAATATATCACTACACTTTATGATATATCACTACACTCTAAAATATATCACTACACTTTATGATATATCACTACACTCTAAAATATATCACTACACTCTAAAATATATCACTACACTCTAAAATATATCAGCCATTTTCTGATTGTTTCTTTTATAAGAAGAAAGCAGTCTAGGCTCCTTATACAATTTTCTTACCTAATAAAGAGAAACATAGAAGTGTAGGGATAATTGACTGCACCGAATCCAGAGAGTAAAGCCATCACTGTGACTCCTATTACTCCAATACGGCCGATACACTGCTCTATAGAGAATATACCTGTATAACACAAAAGTAAACATCACAGTGACTCAGATCACTCTGATACGGCAATCACTGCTCTATAGAGAACATACTTGTATAACACAAAAGTAAACATCACAGTGACTCAGATCACTCTGATACGGCAAACACAGCTGTAATAGAGACTATGCCTGTATAACACAAAAGTAAACATCACAGTGACTCAGATCACTCTGATACGGCAAACACAGCTGTAATAGAGACTATGCCTGTATAACACAAAAGTAAACATCACAGTGACTCAGATCACTCTGATACGGCAAACACAGCTGTAATAGAGACTATGCCTGTATAACACAAAAGTAAACATCACAGTGACTCAGATCACTCTGATACGGCAAACACAGCTGTAATAGAGACTATGCCTGTATAACACAAAAGTAAACATCACAGTGACTCAGATCACTCTGATACGGCAAACACAGCTGTAATAGAGACTATGCCTGTATAACACAAAAGTAAACATCACAGTGACTCAGATCACTCTGATACGGCAATCACTGCTGTAATAGACTATGCCTGTATAACACAAAAGTAAACATCACAGTGACTCAGATCACTCTGATACGGCAAACACTGCTGTAATAGACTATGCCTGTATAACACAAAAGTAAACATCACAGTGACTCAGATCACTCTGATACGGCAATCACTGCTCTATAGAGAACATACTTGTATAACACAAAAGTAAACATCACAGTGACTCAGATCACTCTGATACGGCAAACACTGCTGTAATAGACTATGCCTGTATAACACAAAAGTAAACATCACAGTGACTCAGATCACTCTGATACGGCAAACACAGCTGTAATAGAGACTATGCCTGTATAACACAAAAGTAAACATCACAGTGACTCAGATCACTCTGATACAGCTGATGCACTGTATAACATGAAACTAAAAATCATAATCTAAATATTTCAACATAGGCAATCTACATATAACCTTGTGACCTCTGTACAAAGTCATTTCTATATCTATCTTTAAGGCCAGGGGACCAACATAAACATTCTTACCCAAAGTCACAAGGTACAAAAAAACATTGATTTGTGTTTTTTTTAACAGCAACACTTACAAGTGGGATTATTATTGGGGAAAGTGTGTATGTCTGGTTAAAACACAATATCCAAATCAGACAAGACAACGTAACCTAAAAAGACCTTAGGTCAACATTGTCTTTCCAATTATATATAAATGTCAGTACAAAATGTGATGTCTTCTTTTCAAAATTTATCAGGAATTTTTATACATGTATAATATATATGAATACTTACCATGTTTGGGACTGAGGATAGGAAAGGGGTCACCAATCTTCCAGAAGAAGTAGAGAAATGCCAGCCAGGTAGCCACCGTCAGCATACCAATAACATGTCTTTTCTGTGGGACTAACATAAAAGGAGATAATGACTGAGTACTACAGAAATCTGAAGGATACCAAAATATTAAAGCCCTTCTCCAATCATACTACTGGTCAAAAATCAGCATTGGGTTGTTCAAATAAATACTGAAATATTGAGATGGAGTTGTTTTTGAAGATTTTGATAAATAAGACCCCGGAAACCATGAACTAGTTCCAGATCATATTTTGAGCAAATTTGAAATCCTTCACTCTAATATGCTAATAGCCCATTATCATGACTCTAGACCTCTTGGCTGTGAAGAAGAAGTTCAAAGGAAAATGTTGATGCTTAACAGAAGGCAGATGGACATCACAGCTTAATCTAATCTACCATAAGCTAAAACCTACTGAAGATGTAATGTTTTATTACAGATAATTAAGACTTACCTAGCCTCAGATTACCAATAATGAAATAAGCGATGTAAAATGGTAAAACAGCAATAAGCACAAACAGAATAGCGTACAGTCCAAGCTTCCAGTGGAAATACCTCGAACTGCAACAAAAATAGATTTATACATCATGTGTATATTGTCAGAGATTAACTTTATTGTAACTGGACATTAAAATTTATTTCTAAAGGGTTTAAAATAATTGTTATAGGGCATGAAATACATTGTGGCAATAGATATCATAGAAACAGTTGTAATGATATAGTAGTAAATAATGTTCTTGTTGATCGAACACAGACATCAAAAATATCAGAATTTCTTGTTGATCATATACATAGACGTCGAAAATATCAGAATTTCTTGTTGATCGAACACAGACATCAAAAATATCAGAATTTCTTGTTGATCGAACACAGACATCAAAAATATAAGAATTTCTTGTAGATCGTACACATAGACGTCAAAAATATCAGAATTTCTTGCAGATTGTACACATAGACATCGAAAATATCAGAATTTTTTTGTTGATGGTATACAGACATCAAAAATATCAGAATTACTTGTTGATCATACACAAAGACGGCAAAAATATCAGAATTTTTTTGTTGATGGTATACAGATGTCAAAAATATTAGAATTTCTTGACATTTTTCTTTAAAAAAATACCTAGCATCCATGAATCCAAGGATTTCAAATATGATGAGCTCGAACATGGTACAGGACAATGAAAATGTCACAGAGAACACAAGTAGAACAACAGAGTGGTGAACCTGGAACACAATTATAACAATTTTATTGATGACTGGAGTGTTGGTGGGTCTTTAGCTGTCCCTTTAACACTGATAATCACTGACAGAACTTGTAATTTCAGTGAAGTGTTCAAGCAGCAATCATGAAAGTAATCTCCATACTAAGATCACATAGACAACATCATATGATTAATTGTCATGGAAAACTTTAAGGCTCTACATTGTACATTTCAGAACAAGGATGTATACAGAAGGATTATGCAACTAATTAGTCTTGCTGTGTTTGTATATCAATAAGGTAGTAGAAAGCATAATAGTTTAAACAGGGTCTTCCCCCGAACACCAACTCTGTATATGGCAACATGTTTACATAGGAGGTCAACTGTGATGATAGTGGATGATAGGCTGTTTTAGAATTGTAGTACAGGTAACTTGCACAGGTAAATTCTGATAACTGTTCAGAAAACAGGTAAAGCAGATGATTAAGTTCTGATTCTGATAACTGTTCAGAAAACTGAAAACTATTAATAACTGTAAAATAAAGGAATCAAATATCTGTGTTAAATCTGTTTAAATCCCAAGCTATTCAATGGGAAATGTATAAAAGCCAAGTTCATTTTGGGAAATTATCATATTTCAATCTGCACTTTGAAAGATCAATATCTCAATCATTGCTTGATTTATTACTGTACTGTTGTCACAGATATATATTGTCAAATCATAACTTTTGTCATATATATTAGTTAATCTTGTATTTTCTCTCAGTTTTTGTGTAAATTGTAACTTTTGTCATATATTAGTTAATCTTGTATTTTTTCTCAGTTTTTATGTAAATTGTGTTTAAGTTGAGTGATATTATTATCTTTGTTGTTTGATACAAGGACAGTATGGCTAATGCTAAGATCAACGTTAAGTTCATCACTAACAGAAGAGGCGGACAGAACCTTTCACATAATGGATTCATCTTCAGACAGATTCGAAAGAACGGCAGCAGGACATTCTGGAGATGTTCGACCTCAGGCTGCTCAGCATCACTCTCGACAATCGACAACATACCAGCTAACTTTGGAAGAAATCCACACACCCACGCCTCAGACCCAGCCAGTGTTGTAGCCAAACAGATCATGAACCAGATCACCAACAAATGCATATAATCGGTCCAGCCTATTCCGTCCATGTTTTAGGAAGAGCTCAATCAACTCGACTGGGATGACTGTGGTCCAGCGACTACCAACATTCTACACAGCGAAATCGTCTCTTTACCGTTGGCAGAGTTGGTGTTCGGGGAATGAGCCGTTTAAACCTACTAGCTTTTGTACCATACTCTGTTAACTTAATAATGGCTCTGGTCAGGCCTGTGAGAGCTAAGGCAACAATAACTACATATTCAATAAAAAATACGAGGAGAGTGAACTTCAATGATTTCACAGCTCAGTAAACAAATACATTGTCATAAACCAACATAAAATAAGCCTCCACAGAGTAGTGTTTCCAGTCCCTTCATTCTATGTCCCTGCATTATATGTCCCTGTCCCTGCATTATATGTCCCTGTCCCTGCATTATATGTCCCTGCATTATATGTCCCTGTCCCTTCATTCTATGTCCCTGCATTATATGTCCCTGTCCCTGCATTATATGTCCCTGCATTATATGTCCCTGTCCCTTCATTCTATGTCCCTGCATTATATGTCCCTGTCCCTGCATTATATGTCCCTGCATTATATGTCCCTGTCCCTTCATTCTATGTCCCTGCATTATATGTCCCTGTCCTTGCATTATATGTCCCTGCATTATATGTCCCTGTCCCTTCATTCTATGTCCCTGCATTATATGTCCCTGTCCCTACATTATATGTCCCTGCATTATATGTCCCTGTCCCTTCATTCTATGTCCCTGCATTATATGTCCCTGTCCCTGCATTATATGTCCCTGCATTATATGTCCCTGTCCCTGCATTATATGTCCCTGCATTATATGTCCCTGTCCCTGCATTATATGTCCCTGCATTATATGTCCCTGCATTATATGTCCCTGTCCCTGCATTATATGTCCCTGCCCCTACATTATATGTCCCTACATTATATGTCCCTGTCCTTACATTATATGTCCCTGCCCCTGCATTATATGTCCCTGTCCCTGCATTATATGTCCCTGCCCCTGCATTATATGTCCCTGTCCCTGCATTATATGTCCCTGTCCCTGCATTATATGTCCCAGTCCCTGCATTATATGTCCCTGTCCCTACATTATATGTCCCTGTCCCTACATTATATGTCCCTGTCCCTGCATTATATGTCCCTGTCCCTACATTATATGTCCCTACATTATATGTCCCTGTCCTTACATTATATGTCCCTGTATTATATGTCCCTGTCCCTGCATTATATGTCCCTGCAGTATATGTCCCTGTCCCTACATTAAATGTCCCTGTCCTTACATTATATGTCCCTGTCCCTGCATTATATGTCCCTGTCCCTGCATTATATGTCCCTACATTATATGTCCCTGTCCCTGAATTATATGTCCCTGTCCCTACATTATATGTCCCTGCATTATATGTCCCTGTCCCTGCATTATATGTCCCTGTATTATATGTCCCTGTCCCTGCATTATATGTCCCTGTCCCTGCAGTATATGTCCCTACATTATATGTCCCTGTCCCTGAATTATATGTCCCTGTCCCTACATTATATGTCCCTGCATTATATGTCCCTGTCCCTGCATTATATGTCCCTGCATTATATGTCCCTGTCCCTGCATTATATGTCCCTGCCCCTACATTATATGTCCCTACATTATATGTCCCTGTCCTTAAATTATATGTCCCTGCCCCTACATTATATGTCCCTGTCCCTGCATTATATGTCCCTGCATTATATGTCCCTGTCCCTGCATTATATGTCCCTGTCCCTGCATTATATGTCCCTGCATTATATGTCCCAGTCCCTGCATTATATGTCCCTGTCCCTACATTATATGTCCCTGTCCCTGCATTATATGTCCCTGTCCCTGCATTATATGTCCCTGCCAGGAAACATGTTTGATTTATACTGATTACCTCATAGTCTCTAAATAATTTTTTGATGAAGAAGACCCAACCACCTCCGAAAAACAGGATCTGCAATAAGAAAATATTGATTATACAAATTGATGGATTACATCATGTTACACTACATACAATGATGTATGATTTCTTTATCAGACAACCATATATCAGATATTTTTTAGCTCAAATGTTCATACCAATAGTCACTTGTGTACAAGACACATTATTAAGTATACATCTAACTGGGCAATACATATAAAGTTTCTTTCATCATTATTGTGACACATAATCTATACCATAAAGTCCCCTTGTCCAGAAACATCCTTACTTTGTACCAACACTTATTTAAGTAAAATTTGAAATTTATCAATTATAACTTATGATAAAAGGCCAATAATGCCAAGCATCTCAATAGAATCAAACTCTGATCTGTGGTGTTATAATTTTCTTACTCATTGCTTTACCAGCAGGAGCCAGAGAAGCAAGTCTCACCACGACCAAGTAAACTTAAACTCAACACTATGCATCAGAGGTCATTTTTATTTCAGTGCCTCCAATAGGATTCAAATTGGGGCCTGTAGCTTACTTCTCTGATGTTCAACCAATCAAGCTCTCTTTAGCCAAGTGATTACATACTTCAACTTCAGTAAATAACTTGTCTTCAAATTTTCAGGGGTTACAGTGATGCTTTTGAAAGCATTACCTAGTATTATTTCTGAATTCTTTGGTGGGCTTAACAGAGTTGATATTTATTTCACTGCCTCCTCTAGGGTTCGAACCAAAGACCACTGGATTACTTATCTAATGCTCAACCAATCCAGCTACAGAGAAGTTTTCTCTAGTCAAGTGGTTTATTCTAGCAAGTTTTCTGGCCACATTTACTTAGCAATATAGGCACAATTGCACAGACAGAAAACATGTTACCAGTCTAATATGGCTTTATTTCTGGCTAGAGCAGTGGTACCAACTACAGCCTCATCTGTCAACACATCCATTAAGTGTATAATTATACTGTTTGGTTGGGGGTGGGGGGTGGGGGTGGGGTGGGGGTTTGAAGTCCTGTTCAAACAACATTTATCACTAATGTTAAGCAGATATGAGGGTGCCTGCCTCTGGTGAATCTTAACTTAGGCCCTGTCTATTCAGCACGTTGTCAGGTTTGGGCCTGATCTCTTGACCAGACTGCAGCTGGAGCACAGCATAACACAAAAAACACCTCGGATCTGTCAAGGCAGTCATCATCAGTCTAACATTGTCACTCCAATAATAATAATATACTCTGGGTCTATTGACAAACGAGGCTAGTACCCGTGGCTGTGGTTAGAGTACACATCTGTGGTCACAAGGACATCTAAAAATATTTTGGACGAGGGGTCCAGTGTAGTATACCATTAATCACCCTTCCCCAGAAACATCGTTAAATGTCCCTCTAAATCTAGTAGAATCTTGATCGAGTGGAAACCTGAAAATCGCAAACCTTTATTGTTTGCTCGTATCACTGAATCATGCAAACATACAAGTTTTAACTTCAATGCTTATTTTTAACAGGTTAATGCATTCGTGTTCTGTTACTGAACTAAATTGTCAAAAGGAAGCCAATGTACTAACGACCTGTAACCTTTGGATTCAACTCTTTGCTCATATTTTTCTACCTGCGAAAAGACGATTAACAAGGAATCGACGAGAAACGACATGGTAATTCTAATGTTTCCGTTGGAGCAAATCTGGAAAACAAGACTTTAGGAAATCGGTCATTAATCAATAGTCATTTCAAACGTCAACATCTACACGTGTGGTAAATAATCTCCATGCCTTTCGGGTTCTCCTTCCATGGATTTTTGTTAGAAATCCGAGGCTGAAAATAGAGGTATTTCAAATGTTAGATGGATGTATCGCTAATTCTGATTGGGTGAATTTTCATAGATCATTTTTATGATTACTTATTGTTATCATATTATTTGAGCAGATGACATATTATTACCTAAAGTGATCAAATTCTTAAGATATACTTACAGCTTTCACCGACACTTATATTTGAAAATAAATTAATTTTGATGAGTATAAGAAGGAAATCCCAAAGAAGGAAATTTCCCCCAGTAGCCAATCAACGCTTAGATTAGAAATCGCCCTCGGTCACAGGAAAACCCCCTTGCACTTGTCGGCCATTGATCGGAACGATGTGAAACATCCGTAAACAATGTCTGCCGAAAGAAGCTTTCTTACGGCTTTTGCAAAAGAAAACAACAACTGTTCTACAAGATAGGCTAAGTATTGATTCAAGTGAAAACACAAACACATCTTCAGCAGTTATTGCTCTGAACGATATTTCTGTTATTGAAATTGCGTTGTGGAATCTTCGACGGTTTGTGGTCTGCAAAGGATTTGCACATGCCGTGCATTTTAGGCCGGCGCCAAATAAAACCGTAACATGACTGTTGAACAACCCGCACTACACCAGCGCTGTCACACACAGGTATTTCATAATCACTTCATTATAATAATATGCTGCTTGTTGAAATACGCAAGCCAACTAAGCTGAAAACAACGTTATAGTAGTTTGTCAAAGGAATGTGGTACATGTGCAATGTTCCCCATTACCACCGAATGATAATTCAAAATTCCCAAATTATAACCAACACTTACATACATAAATGCATTTTTCGCTTTCCTTTGTACCTCAGTTTTCAAAATACAAGGATTGGGGAACAGTGGGAGTGAGAATCATGTAATGATATACGTATTGTGATAGAGGGATTTGACGTTCTGCTTTGAACACTACAAAGAACGTTTGATCAAAATGCACTGATGTGAATATGTTCACATAAACACTTGAGAAATTTGAATTTTATGATTTGTGTTAAACAATAAAAAAAAAATTAAAACTTTAATTCATGTGTCATGTGCATATATAAATCAATTAGAGAATGTACAAAGGAACTTCATATTTAAGTTATGTCTATGAAACATACACAACAAAATCAGCCATTCTCTTAATCATAGATCTTAAACACTAAATGATTTACCTTAGACCAATTGTAATTAATCATAGTGATTGATTATCTGACTATGATTGCAAGTACAATATTCCAGATCAATACATGCACATGCTGTCCACATCCTTTTAAAAAATCTGTTTCCTCTGCTAGGATTCAAACCTGGAACCTCTGGCTTACTAGTCTAATGCTTAACTGATCAAGCTAGAGATAGGTTATCTCTTGCTGGACAGTATATTACAGCTAGATTTTCACCCTGGTTACAAATTTACCTTCCAGGAGATAAGTTGTCTTTAACTTTCTTTGGGTTACAGCAACGCTTAAGAGAGTAACGCTAAGTATTATTCTCGTGTCCCTACGTGATCATCAATGTAACAGAGGTCAATAATTTATTTAAATGTTTCCACAAGGATTCAAACCAAGAACCTCTGGCCAAGCAGTCTATTTACTGCTAGAATTATATCAGCTTAGAGTTAGTCAATAAGGGTTACAGCATTAACAACCAGGGTAATTTTTAGGGGAGTCTTTTTGTAGTAAAACAGTTTGCTTGTAGACATCATCTAGAAAGACTGTTTGCTCCTCAAGATTAAATATATAAATTTTCAATTAAAAGGATACTTTAACATACATTTTTCATTATGCAATATGAATGTGATAGCTAGTCCTTTTTTATAATAAATTTTCAGTTTTCACTTCTTCATTTATTCACTGATAGATATAATTATGAATTCTTTATTTCTCCCAGCCAAGAAGTGCAGAAGAAAACTATATATATGCACAGATCAAGGAGATAACTGGGGTAGATGATGAACGTGTGATCAGAAGGGCTATAACTGCCTGTCAGGACCGTGATGGCAAATACGAGATTGAAAATGTTGTAACAATGCTGCTTGCTGATGATTTTGTCAATCCAGCTTTGAAGAAGAAGGTAATAAACTTTTTTTAAGGTCTTGTATGAAATCAGTATGATTCTTTGCGAGGCCCAACAAAAACTTTCAAAATCATTTGTCCCTCAGACTAGTCAGAAGTACTGTCAAGGAAAGTTTTACATTAGAAATTTTCAAAACCATGCATTAAGCTCTCGCATATTGTATATCTGGCTTTATTTCATTATAGTTTAGTTATTGATTAATTGTTGATATCAGGTGAATGTTTTGATAAAACTTTACCAACAGTACTAAGTGTCCTCAACAGGACACAAAGAATGTGCAGTGATAAGTGTTACTTTTCACTAGTGACAAACAACACATTCATGTGAAAAATAACACTTTTGCAAACTTACACCTTTGAAAGTAGAGAACAAAAATCATCTTATAAAATTGACCAATCATAAAACCTAATACAAAACCAGACATTTGTAGGGGTTGATTTCTGGTAACACAACCTTGGTTGCCATGGTAAACTTTACATTCTGTGGCAGTCATCAAGCAGTGCAAGCCAATCATTCAAATTATCTTGTCAGAGGTCCAACCCAGATAACCGAACATCTTGAAAATGGAACTTAACATTTCAAGATGATATGTGTCATCATTAGCCTTAGCTGATGCCATATATCAGCTGTGTAGTAACAGATCATTATTGTTAAACTCTTCTCTTTTTCTGAAAATTTTCAGTAAATTGTCAATTAATGACATAAATAATTAGCCTCCTCTATGTGAATATAAGAATAAATTTACATTGAAAATGTTACTGTATTTTTGCAGTTTTTTTTTTTTTTTAAACAGACTTTATATAATTTCATACTGTGGAGTTATGATGAGTGAGTAGTTCCTTGGAAAAACCTCAGTCAGATTTTATATTTGTCCTGAATATGCCATATTTGACTATTTTTTTAAAATGAAAAAGTCATAAATACTAAGTAGAATCTGATGCAAATGATACTAAGTATTAGACACATGAGAGAAATACATATGTTATGACTGATGATGTTACTAAATATAAATTTTGGAAGAATCTAGAGAAAACATATTGCTAACATATGATATTATTTGCTCAAAATCATTTTGTTACTGTTCTCTGTTAAGTCAGGTGTCTCATGGCAAATGTCTTTGTTTTTCTTTGGTTGAACTGTAAAAACAAATTATTGTAATTTTTGCTAAACCATTTCCATTCAGTTAATCTCGGACATCCTTCTAATACATACAGATAACACATTATCACAGAAGTGTGTTGTAGTCCTGGTCATTTAAACAAATAGACATCTAATACATACAGATAACACATTCTCACAGAAGTGTGTTGTAGTCCTGGTCACTGAAACAAATAGACTTCTAATACATACAGATAACACATTATCACAGAAGTGTGTTGTAGTCCTGGTCACTGAAACAAATAGACATCTAATACATACAGATAACACATTATCACAGAAGTGTGTTGTAGTCCTGGTCATTTAAACAAATAAGACGTCTAATACATACAGATAACACATTATCACAGAAGTGTGTTGTAGTCCTGGTCACTGAAACAAATAGACATCTAATACATACAGATAACACATTATCACAGAAGTGTGTTGTAGTCCTGGTCATTTAAACAAATAGACATCTAATACATACAGATAACACATTATCACAGAAGTGTGTTGTAGTCCTGGTCATTTAAACAAATAAGACGTCTAATACATACAGATAACACATTATCACAGAAGTGTGTTGTAGTCCTGGTCATTTAAACAAATAGACATCTAATACATACAGATAACACATTATCACAGAAGTGTGTTGTAGTCCTGGTCATTTAAACAAATAGACATCTAATACATACAGATAACACATTATCACAGAAGTGTGTTGTAGTCCTGGTCATTTAAACAAATAGACATCTAATACATACAGATAACACATTCTCACAGAAGTATGTTGAATTTCTTTTCGTGTTAATATGCGAAGAGAACAGATTCCACTTGTGGACTGCGAGAATGACGTCGGTCATGTGGCTTGACACAATCAGAAATTTGAAATGCTATGGTGTTATTAAGGCTCTTATGGTCAATAATGTGTTTGACTGTAAACTTCTTCTTTTGTAATGAATTAGCTTTTTAGGGTTACTCAATTTTATAGTGAAATCATCTTACTAAATTCTTTCATCTTCCGATGTCAGTATGTTGATACATAGGTGAATACAACACAAAATATAATGATTTCAACAATAGAATGTTTTGATGTCTCCTAATTATTTGAACTGATTTATGATATGGAATGACCATATGTTTGTAGTAAACAATGTACTTTTGCTGTTTTAGTCTGCTGTGACACCAGTACCCTCTATTGTTGTCCAAGAAGATGCAGCAACTGAGGCAAAACCTGGAACAAATACAGTAGACGCCAGGTCGCGCTTGGTTTCATCGGATCGAGAAACTACCACACAGGGAACACAAGATGCTGGTGCTCAAGGGGTTACAGCAAGGAAAAGTGGTAGGTTTTGGAGTGTTTGACTACTTCTGGAAAGTATGATTTATGTTTGTGTATAAATATAAGACTACTGGAGTTAGTTTTGTTTTCTGTCCCTGTCATTAATGTTTGGAGGAGGTGGGGGGAGGAAATAAAGTTGGACATACAATATATATATATGTCATTGTTTTACATCCTATCCTATGGTATCATAAGGTCACGGTCATATAGAACTTAATATTGATAGTAGGGATGTGACAATAAAGCTGAACCACATTGTGATTCAGTGAGACTGGATCATGATATGTATTGTGATGTAGCACCTGTCTTAGTTTTGAAATAATTTCTGTTTCTCTGAAGCTGAAAACTTCCACAATGGGTATAAGCATGGGTAAACTTAATGCCATCTTTTATGACCAACTCATACAAGCGTCTACATGGTCACACAAAAGCTACATTTTTACAAGCATCTTATGATGTTAACTGATGTTGCATGGCTAATTGGTTCCAACTGTAGAGAGCATTAAAGACAATGTCTGGTTTATCAGAAGTTCACAAATCACTCCACCTATGGGTACATCAAATTACAATAATTAGTTTTTAATTCTGATTTCTTGATCAACACTATGTACAGTATAACCTTGATACACCGCCACTCTCTATTTGTTGGGATTTTTTGCAGTACAATGAGTTTCCAATTCTTGAGAAAAACACGGGATCAATGTTTGTTTACTGCACCTTTTATTAACTTGTGAGAATATATAAAAAATGCAGCTGATTATAATTTGAGTTCTGAAAATAACACCTCATCTTATAAAGTATGAATGGAACTTTTGATGCAATGATAGGATAAAAATTCTGAGTTTCATTCTGTAATACCTCATTGGGAATTTCACACTTTCAATTTCTTCTGCACATGGAGATAGAAGTTACAACTCCTAATATGGAAAACAAAATGAGGTCATCGTCTACTAATGATAAAACTAGAGGAAGTGTGGTGTAGAATAATGTAATGAGGAGTTAGGTACTCTGGTGTAAATCAATAAACACATTCAAATATAGTTTTAAACAGAGTGTATACAACTGATCTGTAGACTTAGTTAGCAATGAAATCTGTGACATATCACAGGTTTACTGTAGACTTAGTTAGCAATGAAGTCAGTGGATACAGTAAGTCTATCACATATCACAGGTTTACTGTAGACTTAGTTAGCAATGAAGTCAGTGGACATATCACAGGTTTACTGTAGACTTACTTAGCAATGAAGTCAGTGACATATCACAGATTTACTGTAGACTAAGTTAGCAATGAAGTCTGTGACATATCACAGGTTTACTGTAGACTTAGCTAGCAATGAAGTCTGTGACATATCACAGGTTTACTGTAGACTTAGTTAGCAATGAAGTCAGTGACATATCACAGGTTTACTGTAGACTTAGTTAGCAATGAAGTCAGTGACATATCACAGGGTTACTGTAGACTTAGTTAGCAATGAAGTCAGTGACATATCACAGGTTTACTGTAGACTTAGCTAGCAATGAAGTCAGTGACATATCACAGGTTTACTGTAGACTTAGTTAGCAATGAGATTACGCTGTGTATCAGTACTGAAACAAATTCTTATTTTAAAATTGAGTTAGATAAGAATAATTGTTTAGGATGAAAAAATTATCTTGCTTGCTCTGATTGACTACAGGAAATGTTATAGATCTGACTAATGAAAGTGCATCGGGAAGTGATCTCCACAAAGCCATTGTTGCCAGTCTCCAAGACACACAAGGAATTCTGGGAGGTCAGGTGTCACGCGAGGAACAAGATATAAGCAGGTAACAAACTCATTTCTTTCAAACTTGAGCTACTTGATCCTACAGAAGGCTCAGGAATGTAGTCTTTAAAATTATGAAAATTAGCAAAGTTTAACCTAATGTATTCTTTTGATGTCCAGACAAAGACTTATTATTGTATAAGTAAAGGATGGCATGATGGGTTCTTTGTCACCTTTTTCTGTAGAGTACTATGAACCCAAATGTTGTAATAATTGCTCTAGATTCTGTATGTACAGCTACTGTCACTCAGTGAATTATTTGTTGTCAGACAATGAAAATGGCCTGTTTTGTCTTTAGAGTTTTGGAGCAGAGTTTAGCCGAGAGTAAGGCAGGTACTAAGAGAAAACGAGGAGATATCTGGTTCGTGGATCCACTGAATCCTCACGAGAGGAAGAGACAAGATGACTGCCCCGTAGGACTCAAAAATGTGGGAAACACCTGCTGGTTTAGCGCTGTCATACAGGTAATAATACTATTCAAGTATTTCGTCAGAGTATCCTGACTTAGACTTAAACAGGCCCTTTTCCAGGGGATCTGTAGGGCCAAATATGGGCCCCATTCCCAATTGGATTTATTTCCTAATATGGCTAATACCCAAAAATATCTATTGATGACTTTGCTTCAAAACATTTCCTTTCCACTTATCTTTTTCCCAAATGAGAGGGGAAAAAATTCTGTTTAAGTTGTCTTTATATTGGATTAGAAGATATATGATATTTGATTTTTGCAAAAAGTTTTACACACATTCTGTAAATGAATTTACTGTATTTAGTAAAACATACAATAAAAATGAAAATTTAGAAATTTGAAATCCTTTCTGGATCATTTAACAACCTATTAAACATTTAAATACGTCTGGGCCACAGGTTTGTCACCTATGTCAGACAGACCCCAGGTATTTGCTGCAGGCTGGTAGTTTTTTCTTTGGAAACTCCGGCTTTCCTTCATCATCTAAACCTGGCATAGCCTTAAATGACACTGACTGATAATAGGATGTAAAGAAACTATATAGAAACAATACAGACACTGACTGATAATAGGATGTAAAGAAACTATATAGAAACAATACAGACACTGACTGATAATAGGATGTAAAGAAACTATATAGAAACAATACAGACACTGACTGATAATAGGATGTAAAGAAACTATATAGAAACAATACAGACACTGACTGATAATAGGATGTAAAGAAACTATATAGAAACAATACAGACACTGACTGATAATAGGATGTAAAGAAACTATGTAGAAACAATACAGACACTGACTGATAATAGGATGTAAAGAAACTATGTAGAAACAATACAGACACTGACTGATAATAGGATGTAAAGAAACTATGTAGAAACAATACAGACACTGACTGATAATAGGATGTAAAGAAACTATGTAGAAACAATACAGACACTGACTGATAATAGGATGTAAAGAAACTATATAGAAACAATACAGACACTGACTGATAATAGGATGTAAAGAAACTATGTAGAAACAATACACAAATATCAGTGCGATTTATACAGTGTAGTTAGAAAACTAATACTGCTGACGTCTAAGAAAACGGCCACGTTCCAGGATAAGCTAATACTGCTGACGTCTAAGAAACCGGCCACGTTCCAGGATAGACTAATACTGCTGACGTCTAAGAAAACGGCCACGTTCCAGGATAAGCTAATACTGCTGACGTCTAAGAAACCGGCCACATTCCAGGATAGACTAATACTGCTGACGTCTAAGAAACCGGCCACGTTCCAGGATAGACTAATACTGCTGACGTCTAAGAAAACGGCCATGTTCCAGGATAAACTAATACTGCTGACGTCTAAGAAAACTGCCACATTCCAGGATAGACTAATACTGCTGACGTCTAAGAAAACGGCCACGTTCCAGGATAAACTAATACTGCTGACGTCTAAGAAAACAGCCACATTCCAGGATAAGCTGATACTGCTGACGTCTAAGAAACCGGCCACATTCCAGGATAAACTAATACTGCTGACGTCTAAGAAAACGGCCACATTCCAGGATAGACTAATACTGCTGACGTCTAAGAAAACGGCCACGTTCCAGGATAGACTAATACTGCTGACGTCTAAGAAAACGGCCACGTTCCAGGATAGACTAATACTGCTGACGTCTAAGAAACCGGCCACATTCCAGGATAGACTAATACTGCTGACGTCTAAGAAAACTGCCACATTCCAGGATAGACTAATACTGCTGACGTCTAAGAAAACGGCCACGTTCCAGGATAAACTAATACTGCTGACGTCTAAGAAACTGGCCATGTTCCAGGATAGACTAATACTGCTGACGTCTAAGAAAACGGCCACGTTCCAGGATAAGCTAATACTGCTGACGTCTAAGAAACCGGCCATGTTCCAGGATAAACTAATACTGATGACGTCTAAGAAACTGGCCATGTTCCAGGATAAACTAATACTGCTGACGTCTAAGAAACCGGCCATGTTCCAGGATAAACTAATACTGCTGACGTCTAAGAAAACGGCCACGTTCCAGGATAGACTAATACTGCTGACGTCTAAGAAACCGGCCATGTTCCAGGATAGACTAATACTGCTGACGTCTAAGAAACCGGCCACGTTCCAGGATAAACTAATACTGCTGACGTCTAAGAAACCGGCCATGTTCCAGGATAGACTAATACTGCTGACGTCTAAGAAAACGGCCACGTTCCAGGATAGACTAATACTGCTGACGTCTAAGAAAACAGCCACTTTCCAGGATAGACACCATGCAGTATTTGTTAGAGATTTTTGTGATAAACATTAAGATAAAGTTAATGAATCTCCAAGAACACTTGTTCTTTCTATTTGGTTGGGACATCTTCAACATGTTGCAACTGTGGGAGCTCGTCAACATGTTTCAACTGTGGGAGCTCGTCAACATGTTGCAACTGTGGGAGCTCGTCAACATGTTGCAACTATGGGACCTCTACAACTTGTTGTAACTGTGGGACCTCGTCAACATGTTGCAACTGTGGGACCTCGTCAACATGTTGCAACTGTGGAAGCTAGTCAACATGTTGTAATGATGGGACTTGGTTGACATGTTGCGATGGTGAGACCAGTTGACATGTTTCGTCGGTGGGACAAGTCGACATGTTGTAATGATGGGACATGGCAACATGTTGTAATGATGTGACATGGTTGACATGTTGTGATGGTGAGACCAGTTGACATGTTTCGTCGGTGGGACAAGTCGACATGTTGTAATGATGGGACATGGCTGACATGTTGCAACGACAGCACATCGTCAACATGTTGCAACTGTGGGAGCTCGTCAACATGTTGTAATGATGGGACTTGGTTGACATGTTGCGATGGTGGGACAAGTCGACATGTTGTGACAGCAAGACATCATCAATATGTTGCAACTGTGGGACCTCGTCAACATGTTGTAATGATGGGACTTGGTTGACATGTTGCGATGGTGGGACAAGTCGACCTGTTGCGATGGCGGGACATCGTCAGTATGTTGCGACGGCGACGTGGTCTTCATCTGTAGCATGAGGTTTATGTAATTATTAATTTAAAAGGAAGAAACCAAAGATTTCTTAATGACTGGTAATTTATCTCCTGGGTAAAATTGTAGGATAAGGATTAATTCATGATCAATTATAGAAATAAGACTATAATTAGAGTCTATACTATTGTTGTATAAACCTTGGATTACTATCCTATTCAATGTTGCCAGCTCACCTGATTTCAGCAGGTCAAACCAATATCTGCCCTAGGATTGACCTGCTCAAATCATGAAAAATATCAGAATTATCTTATATTATCGGACTTTCCTTTAGTATTTAAGAAAATTCAAAATTGAATTTTGAACCTTACTTATTCAAAATAATGATCAATTATCTAAATACATGTGATAAGTATAGAAGCAAGATTGATTATAAGTTATTATAAGTCGTTTCCTTGATGACCCTTTAAAACACCCTGTCACCTGGATTTTAAAAGACTGTGATATTTGATGACAAGAGTGGTCCACACTGCATATTCTAGCTGTAATAAGCCCAGTATGCTTACACAATAATACTCTTTTGAGGCAGAGGGTGGGCTTATCACAGGACTATGAAATGATATTTGTTTGTAATTTCACAGAGTTGGTTGCCAATATTATTCAGAGGCAGAGGGTGGGCTTATCACAGGACTATATTTGTTATTTCACTGAATGACAGATATATTGGTTGGCTTAAAGCCATCAATCACTCATTGCCAGATAAGTACGGTTAGAGATGATACTCAGTAGAGAAACATAGGCTTCTGTAATAAACTTAATTGTAAGATATAATTAAATACTTGTTAACGGTTTGTGACTATCCTCGACAACCGTTAGAAGTGGACTGGAATTGATGTAACAATGCAGTAATAAGTATTTAACTCTGTACATTAGCAATTAGATTCTATCTAATTATTATGTTGTTTTTCAGTCGCTGTTTCATATACGAAGGTTTCGACACCTTGTCTTGAACTTCCATTCACCAAATGAGTCAGACCCAGGAAACGGAGCTGTAAGTAACATATCAACCATTGAAATTGTGACATAAAACTTTAGATATATAAAGACTGTATGGATTGACACATTGTATCTGCTTCATTTTAGTACATGATAGGAGACATAAAACCAGGTACACAAATGATTTGCTTCACCTGTAGTTTAAATCTATAAAACTAACATTTCAGGTTAATACTTCTACTGAATTTGTTCATATTAAGGCTGGGGTTCTTCCACTGTATATCTATGATGATAGAAGCTGAAAAAAAGCAGTATATAATACTTAACATTTTTTTCTATACAGGAGTCCAGAAATCTACGCTTCATGACAGAGCTGCGTTACTTATTTGGGTTAATGATAGGATCTCACAAGAAGTATGTAGATCCCTCTAAAGCTGTGGAAATACTTAAGGAAGCTTTCTCTTCATCTCCCTCCTCCTCAGGGGTAGGAGAGAGTCAACAGGTAACCATAACACATCTTTAAGGCCGAGGCTAATTTTTGTTGTGAAAAATCAGATCATAAGGTCTTCAAAATCTGTTTTGATATTGATAGGGAATTTTAAGGATGTCAAAAGAGACCCATAATTGAGTTTATTTGTTATTGCCTCTAAAGTTTATGTTACAGAATTCTCATCTAAAGACACCATCCATTTGTTTGTTTTTGTTTTCTTTTTTGTACCAGGTTTTGATTGAGTGATTTTGTCACTACAAAAGTTCAAATATTCAGTAAAGTTTATAAATTAATAGACAAGTATTGGATTTGACTGACTTTTTAGCCCTAAAGTAAATATATTTTGTATCTTCAGTTAAGATTGGAAATGCTTATCACAGAATTCACTGATTTTGCGGCGGCTATAGTTCATATATTCAGTCAAATTGAGAAATCAATTTATTAGGTTGGACTGGCTCTGTCAGATTGACTTCTTAGTTGTTGATAAATTTTGTGAATGGTAGAAATTATATTTTGATTTACGGTTACAGGATGTAAGTGAGTTTCAACACAAGTTATTGGAGTGGCTAGAGGACGCCTTCAAGGCAGATACATCCTGTCCTTCATCACCAGAACAGCAAGAGTATGTTGTCAAACAATACAGTATTTATCCTGAGTGTATTTAAACAAAATGGTATTACTTTGACCAAAGCCTAGAACAGCAAGAGTATGTTGTCAAACAATACAGTATTTATCCTGAGTGTATTTAAATAAAATGGTATTACTTTGACCAAAGCCTAGAACAGCAAGAGTATGTTGTCAAACAATTCAGTATTTATCGTGAGTGTATTGAAACAAAATGGTATTACTTTGACCAAAGCCTAGAACAGCAAGAGTATGTTGTCAAACAATACAGTATTTATCCTGAGTGTATTTAAACAAAATGGTATTACTTTGACCAAAGCTTAGAACAGCAAGAGTATGTTGTCAAACAATACAGTATTTATCCTGAGTGTATTTAAACAAAATGGTATTACTTTGACCAAAGCCTAGAACAGCAAGAGTATGTTGTCAAACAATACAGTATTTATCCTGAGTGTATTTAAACAAAATGGTATTACTTTGACCAAAGCCTAGAACAGCAAGAGTATGTTGTCAAACAATACAGTATTTATCCAGTGTATTTAAATAAAATGGTATTACTTTGACCAAAGCCTAGAACAGCAAGAGTATGTTGTCAAACAATTCAGTATTTATCCTGAGTGTATTTAAACAAAATGGTATTACTTTGACCAAAGCCTAGAACAGCAAGAGTATGTTGTCAAACAATACAGTATTTATCCTGAGTGTATTTAAACAAAATGGTATTACTTTGACCAAAGTAGAACAGCAAGAGTATGTTGTCAAACAATACAGTATTTATCCTGAGTGTATTTAAACAAAATGGTATTACTTTGACCAAAGCCTAGAACAGCAAGAGTATGTTGTCAAACAATACAGTATTTATCCTGAGTGTATTTAAACAAAATGGTATTACTTTGACCAAAGCCTAGAACAGTAAAAGTATGTTGTCAAACAATACAGTATTTATCCTGAGTGTATTTAAACAAAATGGTATTACTTTGACCAAAGCCTAGAACAGTAAAAGTATGTTGTCAAACAAACAGTATTTATCCAGTGTATTTATTTATGACCAAAGCCTGAGTGTATTTAAACAAAATGGTATTACTTTGACCAAAGCCTAGAACAGTAAAATTATGTTGTCAAACAATACAGTATTTAACCTGAGTGTATTGAAACAAAATGGTATTACTTTGACCAAAGCCTAGAACAGTAAAAGTATGTTGTCAAACAATACAGTATTTATCCTGAGTGTATTTAAACAAAATGGTATTACTTTGACCAAAGCCTAGAACAGTAAAAGTATGTTGTCAAACAATACAGTATTTATCCTGAGTGTATTTAAACAAAATGGTATTACTTTGACCAAAGCCTAGAACAGTAAAAGTATGTTGTCAAACAATACAGTATTTATCCTGAGTGTATTGAAACAAAATGGTATTACTTTGACCAAAGCCTAGAACAGTAAAATTATGTTGTCAAACAATACAGTATTTATCCTGAGTGTATTGAAACAAAATGGTATTACTTTGACCAAAGCCTAGAACAGTAAAAGTATGTTGTCAAACAATACAGTATTTATCCTGAGTGTATTGAAACAAAATGGTATTACTTTGACCAAAGCCTAGAACAGTAAAATTATGTTGTCAAACAATACAGTATTTATCTTGAGTGTATTTAAACAAAATGGTATTACTTTGACCAAAAGAACAGTAAAATTATGTTGTCAAACAATACAGTATTTAACCTGAGTGTATTGAAACAAAATGGTATTACTTTGACCAAAGCCTAGAACAGTAAAATTATGTTGTCAAACAATACAGTATTTAACCTGAGTGTATTGAAACAAAATGGTATTACTTTGACCAAAGCCTAGCAGGGATTGACAAATTCTAATTTAAGGACTTAATCCACTCATAGACTAAATGCAGCTTAGATAATGTAATGTTAAAATGACTGTCACTAAAACTAACTATTTGACAAACTCTCACATAAAAATGTAAGAAAATATGTATCCTACAACTTCAGGCAGTTATTTACAGTAAAAATTCTTAATTTGATTACTTCATCATGAAACATTTTCTAAATTTAAAAGGTAAAGAATTACTTTACCTAATTGTCTGAAACAATATCCTGTATCACCATGTTGTAGTGCTGCTGAGAGTGATTCTAATATGAAGAAAATGAAAAACCCGATGGTGGAGTTGTTTTACGGACAGTATCGAGCTGAAGGCACAAACGAGGGTAAGTTGTGATGAAATTTTATTATCATTATTCTGTGAGGGCACCAATTAGTGTAGGATTGTGGTGATGTTTTGTCATGATCCAGATTTTGTGAGGGCACCACTGAGGATAAGATTGTAGTGAAGTTTCACCATCATAATATTTCTGTGAGGGCACCAATGAGGATAAGATTGTAGTGAAGTTTCACCATCATAATATTTCTGTGAGGGCACCAATGAGGATAAGATTGTAGTGAAGTTTCACCATCATAATATTTCTGTGAGGGCACCATCATAATATTTGAGGATAAGATTGTAGTGAAGTTTCACCATCATAATATTTCTGTGAGGGCACCAATGAGGATAAGATTGTAGTGAAGTTTCACCATCATAATATTTCTTTGAGGACAATAATGAGGGTAAGATTGTGGTGAAGGTTTGTTGTGATCCAGATTCTGTGAGGACAACAATGAGGGTAAGATTGTAGTGAAGTTTCACCATCATAATATTTCTGTGAGGACAATAATGAGGGTAAGATTGTGGTGAAGGTTTGTTGTGATCCAGATTCTGTGAGGACAACAATGAGGGTAAGATTGTGGTGAAGGTTTGTTGTGATCCAGATTCTGTGAGGACAACAATGAGGGTAAGATTGTGGTGAAGGTTTGTCATGATACAGATTCTGTGAGGGGAAACAATGAGGGTAAGACTGGTGGTGTTTTATCTTGATTCTGATTCTCAGAGGGAAACAATGAGGGTAAGACTGGTGGTATTTTATCTTGATTCTGATTCTCAGAGGGAAACAATGAGGGTAAGACTGGTGGTGTTTTATCTTGATTCTGATTCTCAGAGGGAAACAATGAGGGTAAGACTGGTGGTGTTTTATCTTGATTCTGATTCTCAGAGGGATAAAAAGGTGAAATAAATCAGAAGTAGTGCTATCAAGGTTAAAGATGTGTGTGGCAGGAAGATAAACTTTAACTGGATTTTGGATTGTAAATACCCAGAATGTTGGAAGAATTTCAAACAGGAAACTCATATTTTATAGGTATTTAGTATTAAGTTTCAAAGTAGAGCATAAAGCTGTCTGTTTGAAAAACTTCGAAATCATACAAACAAGATTATCATCAAAAAATAACCCTATGATGTTTTTTGCACAGGTAAGGGCTTCAGCAATGACGAGACGTTCGGCCAGTTTCCTCTACAAGTGAATGGTTTTCGTGATGTTCACGAGAGTTTGGAAGCCGCGACTGCCCCTGGAGTGATCGAAACTATCAGTGGTAACACTACGCAAACGTCTGGTCAGGAGGTAATTATAACAGCTGATAGCTATTAGGAGGGAAAGGTAATGTACCTCTGGTCAGGAGGTAATTATAACAGCTGATAGCTATTAGGAGGGAAAGGTAATGTACCTCTGGTCAGGAGGTAATTATAACAGCTGATAGCTATTAGGAGGGAAAGGTAATGTACCTCTGGTCAGGAGGTAATTATAACAGCTGATAGCTATTAGGAGGGAAAGGTAATGTACCTCTGGTCAGGAGGTAATTATAACAGCTGATAGCTATTAGGAGGGAAAGGTAATGTACCTCTGGTCAGGAGGTAATTATAACAGCTGATAGCTATTAGGAGGGAAAGGTAATGTACCTCTGGTCAGGAGGTAATTATAACAGCTGATAGCTATTAGGAGGGAAAGGTAATGTACCTCTGGTCAGGAGGTAATTATAACAGCTGATAGCTATTAGGAGGGAAAGGTAATGTACCTCTGGTCAGGAGGTAATTATAACAGCTGATAGCTATTAGGAGGGAAAGGTAATGTACCTCTGGTCAGGAGGTAATTATAACAGCTGATAGCTATTAGGAGGGAAAGGTAATGTACCTCTGGTCAGGAGGTAATTATAACAGCTGATAGCTATTAGGAGGGAAAGGTAATGTACCTCTGGTCAGGAGGTAATTATAACAGCTGATAGCTATTAGGAGGGAAAGGTAATGTACCTCTGGTCAGGAGGTAATTATAACAGCTGATAGCTATTAGGAGGGAAAGGTAATGTACCTCTGGTCAGGAGGTAATTATAACAGCTGATAGCTATTAGGAGGGAAAGGTAATGTACCTCTGGTCAGGAGGTAATTATAACAGCTGATAGCTATTAGGAGGGAAAGGTAATGTACCTCTGGTCAGGAGGTAATTATAACAGCTGATAGCTATTAGGAGGGAAAGGTAATGTACCTCTGGTCAGGAGGTAATTATAACAGCTGATAGCTATTAGGAGGGAAAGGTAATGTACCTCTGGTCAGGAGGTAATTATAACAGCTGATAGCTATTAGGAGGGAAAGGTAATGTACCTCTGGTCAGGAGGTAATTATAACAGCTGATAGCTATTAGGAGGGAAAGGTAATGTACCTCTGGTCAGGAGGTAATTATAACAGCTGATAGCTATTAGGAGGGAAAGGTAATGTACCTCTGGTCAGGAGGTAATTATAACAGCTGATAGCTATTAGGAGGGAAAGGTAATGTACCTCTGGTCAGGAGGTAATTATAACAGCTGATAGCTATTAGGAGGGAAAGGTAATGTACCTCTGGTCAGGAGGTAATTATAACAGCTGATAGCTATTAGGAGGGAAAGGTAATGTACCTCTGGTCAGGAGGTAATTATAACAGCTGATAGCTATTAGGAGGGAAAGGTAATGTACCTCTGGTCAGGAGGTAATTATAACAGCTGATAGCTATTAGGAGGGAAAGGTAATGTACCTCTGGTCAGGAGGTAATTATAACAGCTGATAGCTATTAGGAGGGAAAGGTAATGTACCTCTGGTCAGGAGGTAATTATAACAGCTGATAGCTATTAGGAGGGAAAGGTAATGTACCTCTGGTCAGGAGGTAATTATAACAGCTGATAGCTATTAGGAGGGAAAGGTAATGTACCTCTGGTCAGGAGGTAATTATAACAGCTGATAGCTATTAGGAGGGAAAGGTAATGTACCTCTGGTCAGGAGGTAATTATAACAGCTGATAGCTATTAGGAGGGAAAGGTAATGTACCTCTGGTCAGGAGGTAATTATAACAGCTGATAGCTATTAGGAGGGAAAGGTAATGTACCTCTGGTCAGGAGGTAATTATAACAGCTGATAGCTATTAGGAGGGAAAGGTAATGTACCTCTGGTCAGGAGGTAATTATAACAGCTGATAGCTATTAGGAGGGAAAGGTAATGTACCTCTGGTCAGGAGGTAATTATAACAGCTGATAGCTATTAGGAGGGAAAGGTAATGTACCTCTGGTCAGGAGGTAATTATAACAGCTGATAGCTATTAGGAGGGAAAGGTAATGTACCTCTGGTCAGGAGGTAATTATAACAGCTGATAGCTATTAGGAGGGAAAGGTAATGTACCTCTGGTCAGGAGGTAATTATAACAGCTGATAGCTATTAGGAGGGAAAGGTAATGTACCTCTGGTCAGGAGGTAATTATAACAGCTGATAGCTATTAGGAGGGAAAGGTAATGTACCTCTGGTCAGGAGGTAATTATAACAGCTGATAGCTATTAGGAGGGAAAGGTAATGTACCTCTGGTCAGGAGGTAATTATAACAGCTGATAGCTATTAGGATGGAAAGGTAATGTACCTCTGGTCAGGAGGTAATTATAACAGCTGATAGCTATTAGGATGGAAAAAACAAAACTGTCTAGTCAGAAATAATTACAATTGTCAGAAAATATTACAGCACTTTAGTTAGGAGGTAATCATAACAGCCAAAAACTATTAGGAGGTAATTCTAACAGCTGAAAACTATTAGAAGTTAAACGTAACAGCTGTTTGGTCAGAAAGTTTTTGTAACTTCCATCAGTTATTATCTCAGGAGGTAAATATAACAGCTGTTTGGTCAGTAAGTTATTGTAACTTCCATCAGTTATTATCTCAGGAGGTAAATATAACAGCTGTTTGGTCAGGAAGTTATGGTGACTTCCATCAGTTATTATCTCAGGAGGTAAATATAACAGCTGTTTGGTCAGTAAGTTATTGTAACTTCCATCAGTTATTATCTCAGGAGGTAAATATAACAGCTGTCTGGTCAGGAAGTTATTGTAACTTCCATCAGTTATTATCTCAGGAGGTAAATATAACAGCTGTCTGGTCAGTAAGTTATTGTAACTTCCATCAGTTATTATCTCAGGAGGTAAATATAACAGCTGTTTGGTCAGAAAGTCATTGTGACTTCCACGAGTTATTATCTGATAGGAGAGAAACATAACAGTTCTGTGTAGAACATAAGGAAAGGAAAAAAACTTGAAACATGTTTGATGATATGATACATTTTAACATTTTAAAAAAAATGGTAAAACATCTGATTAGGATAGTGTGATTTCATCAACAATACATGTTCCCTTTCAGCTCTGGTTTACAAGACTGCCACCTGTATTGACTTTTGAATTATCGAGATTTCAATTTAATCAGCAATTAGGACGACCAGAGAAAATACACAACAAAATAGAATTTCCTCAGGTGATCTACATGGACAGGTGAGACCATTTTAAAATCTGCTGTATGTGTAGGACAGGCAGAGAAGGTTTGATCTTGGGTACGGGATAATTCATACATTTTGTGACAATTGTTCATTAATATCTACACATGGAAATTGTCAGCCTTATTTCAATCCAGAAACCAATTTATTGAATTTAATTTGTAGAAATTCTGTATAAGATCTAACTAAGTCATTTAACAAATGATCTTTATCGCATCACACGTTTTGCAGCTGTGCAGTGCACTTCAAACAAATATGGTGACTTTAGATTCTGCCTTATTATGTCGTTACAGAGTGGTCTGTTTCAAGTTTACTTTCAGTGTCACAACTGATTAGATGAAACGTTGTGCTCCTAGTTTCATTTTCAACATGAGTATGTGATAAATGTGCCATCTTTAGATGGACTAATTTTGATCTCGAACATATACTAGTCATGGATTCTATTTCTCATTAATAATTTTGTCAAAATGGCATTAAACATTTTGAAATAGTATCATTTCAAAATCATTTGATGGAAAGAAATTTACTCCCTTTTCAGTTGTATGTCAGAAAGGCAATTGAATATGATCTCATTTTAACTGACATTCAATGGTACCAAATACTATACGAAGATACTATGCAGATCAAAGGAGACAAAAGTCATGAGATTTCCCTTTTTAATGTGTAAGAAAAATCATGATATTTCCCTTTTCCTTGTATGAGAAAAAGATATTGACAGCTGTTGATTTTATTTATCAATATGGATGGGATTTTTTCTTTTCTAGGTACATGTGTTGTAATAAAATAGAAACACGACACAGACGAGAACAAGTGAAAAAGTTACGAGAGGAATTATCTATTTTAAATACAAGGCTAAACAAGTAAGTATTAATTTAGCCTGTTTATCCAGATTCACAACTGTTACAGAAACTAAAAATGGATTTTCTCTCCTAAATAGGTTTGAATGACGTCCTGATTTCTAAATTGTTGTTAGATTAGATACTCGCCAAAAAGTCTGAAAAACTTCTATCTTTTTAAAAATCTGAAGAAAAAAGTAAAAGTTACAATGCTGTTATTACAGATTTAATCATTACGGGTCTGGAAGTAAGAAGGTTCCCCTACAGGATGTATTGTCATATGCTCTGGAGTTTGCCCAGAGTAAACCAGACCACATTTCTAGTCTCCCGCAAGATGTGGAAATGGAATCTCCAAAGCCACAAAGGTATGTCAGTCCACTCTAGACAGTGAAATGGAATATCCCCATGTCACAACATCTGGTGACGATAATTTCACTAATCCTGAATCTGTCTATCAGCTCTTTGAATTTTCTAATTTGCCAAGGTTTTTTTTTCTTTTTTTTTTAAAGGGTTTTCTATTACACTTTAGAGAAATGCAACAAAGCCTTTTTTGGACAAAATGTGTCCGATAATATTGTAAACTAGATGTCAAAAAGCTGCAGTCAAATATCGCTCAGTTGGAATTGAACTCTGATGCTATTTACTAATTATTTTTGAAATACACTTCTTCATAGATCAGTCCTTTTTTTTAAAGCAAATCTCCAACAGGGATCAATAACAATCAGTTTAGCATACAAATTTACCAAATATGAAAAACAACAAACCATTGTATGGTCTGGCAGTTGTGATTGAAGACAGTTATCTCCCTTGGACTGTTTACTAGAAGATGTCCACATAGATTTATACATGTGGATTGATTCCATTTAACAGTGATGTAAGTATGGTAACAGAATCATCCCCAGTCAAGTCCCCTGGGACAGATGTTACCATGACTCCTGCAACTCCTCCCCGCCCTCATCGGACACCAGGAGTAACCTCAAGTCCAGCCCCCCGCCACATTACAGATGGGGAACTGCAGGTGTTGCAGGATTGTCTTCATCGCTGGAGGACGGAAGTGGAACAGGATGTGAGAGGTGGGTATTTCAATGCTGACACATGTCACTTATTTACCACCTTATTGGTAGATTGTCGTTGGATATTAAACAAAAAACATACTGAAATAAATCGCACAAATAAACTAAGGTTTATTAAAATGATTCTTTATCTTGTTTATCAACAGATTTATCTCCTATCACAGATGCTTAGTATTAAATTACTCCCAAATTTTTTTTTAATTTTCTTCAAAATTACTTTAGACATTCAAATAACTTTAAAAGATTGTTAAAGCAGACCAGCATTTTGAGAGAAAAAGTTGGGGGGTGTGTGTAGAAAATAGCCTGTAATGTTTGGATTACAAGTAAGACTATTATTTCAAAATTATTTTTCACTTGTAAATTCCTTTTGAAATCTGTTTGCAATTTGTTAGAACTGACTTGATCGTCCAAAATAACATACTGCATTTGTGAATTCTAAATAATTGATAATGCTGTGTTGAAAATTCTGTTTAAAAAGCAGCAGCAATATTTCCATTGTAAGTAATGTAGAATCATGGAATTAGAATGTAAGTTATTTTGTGAGGGAAAATTCTCTGTTCTTTCTTCAGAGTTACAAGACAATATAAACATACTAGAGGAAAATGTCAACAAGATGTACAGTGATGACGCCATGCAGAGGGTAAGTTACTGTCATAGAGAAACTGGAATTCATTTTATAGCATTGATGTCATGTAGAGGGTAGCGTTATGTGATTATAGATACAAGGATGAAATAGTTTTATAACAGAGGGTAGCATTATGTGATTATAGATACAAGAATGAAATAGTTTTATAACCGAGGGTAGCATTATGTGATTATAGATACAAGAATGAAATAGTTTTATAACAGAGGGTAGCATTATGTGATTATAGATACAAGGATGAAATAGTTTTATAACAGAGGAAAATAGTTTTATAACCGAGGGTAGCATTATGTGAATATAGAGACAAGGATGAAATAGTTTTATAACCGAGGGTAGCATTATGTGAATATAGAGACAAGGATGAAATAGTTTTATAACAGAGGAAAATAGTTTTATAACAGAGGGTAGCGTTATGTGATTATAGAGACAAGGATGAAATAGTTTTATAACAGAGATAGCGTTATGTGAATCATTGATATGACGTCTGTTTACAGTATCCATATCAGCTCCATGCGGTCCTTGTTCATGAAGGACAAGCTGCATCAGGTCACTACTGGGCCTATATTTATAACACAGCTAAAGACAAGTGGCTCAAGTTTAATGACATCACAGTGTCAGAAGCATCCTGGGACGAGCTGGCAAAAGAAAGTGTTGGAGGATACCACAATGCTAGCGCCTACTGTCTCATGTATGTCGACAAGTCACAACTACAACAAACAGGTAGGGACAATGTTTAACAGGAACAATTATACTATAGCTGACTATATCAGAAATGTTCATTACATTAAAATGAAATATTTTCTGAAAATTGAATACTTTTTTCAGTAAAAAAAAAATCCAATATGCGGATATGATGCGTTTATATTTATCAGAGAAAATATGTGAGAAATTTGTCACAGTAGTTGTAATAGTTCAATTAAAAAATCTGTTTATTTTATAAGATGGTAGGTTTTATGAGAACTTTCAGATCTGAATGTATTTACTTAGCAACTATAGCTATTGTTTTCATTTATTTTCCTGTCAGATTATGATACAAGTACAACTGATGCTGCACAACAAGTTTATTTTGCCATTTGTTATAAAATTTTCAATATCTAATTTTAGCCTTGCTATAGGAGAGCAGGAACTAGATTAAGTAACATCACTTTTCATTAAAACTACATTTCTGGTAGATAAAAATATAGAAATTAATGTTCCTGTCACAGTATGATATGTCCGCAATGATGCATAACAGAGGTTTCTTTTGCCGTGAAAAGCAGAATATTTAATTTTGATCTTGTCAAATATTTCTCAATATAAAGCTGGAATTAGACATTATGTGGTAACTCTTGAATTAGAGTTTGCAACTTGGTGAAAATAGAGGAAATGAAACACTGGTGATAGGAAATATCAGACAGTATATATATTGGAAGTTATGCCATTTAATTTGTCTTTCTTCTATTGTATTATTTAAGAAAATCCACTTTTCTACCATATCAGGGTAAACAATATAGTGACAGAAAAACAGTCTTACTAAGTGAAAGATATTCATTTTAACATGAATTGTTATTCATATAACCTACATGCATTTTTTCTGATTTTGCTTGTAAAAAGAATTTTTGGTAATCAAAAAACGACATATTTGTTAAGGACACTGATTTCTAGAAGTTGTTCTTTTTTTGGATCTAGTTTTTGTTGTAGTTTTAGAGTAATGTATGAATTTTCATTTACCTTTTTTGGTTCAGATCTGGTAGATACTGAGTTAATAGGGAAGGACATAGATAATCTACCTAAAGATTTAAAGGAGTCTGTCATCCTGGACAACAAGAAATTTGAGGAGGAAATTCTAGACTGGGACAATGAACAGGCGAGAAAAGCTGCTGCAGAATCAGGAGCTGCATCGGAGCACAAACCAGGTCTGTCACCCTCACTTATGCTGGTCAATGTACAACACACCAGGTCTGTCACCCTCACTTATGCTGGTCAATGTACAACACACCAGGTCTGTCACCCTCACTTATACTGGTCAATGTACAACACACCAGGTCTGTCACCCTCACTTATACTGGTCAATGTACAACACACCAGGTCTGTCACCCTCACTTATACTGGTCCCTGTACAACACACCAGGTCTGTCACCCTCACTTATACTGGTCCCTGTACAACACAATACACAATGTCTTACATATATCATCTATATTGAATTTACTTGTATTTGCATTATCAGTTCTGTCTATATTTATTGTGGCCGGAGCAAGTTCTGTATATATTTGATTGTGGTGGGAATGAGTTCTGTATATATTTATTGTGGCGGGAACGAGTTCTGTATATATTTATTGTGGCGGGAACGAGTTCTGTATATATTTATTGTGGCCGGAGCGAGTTCTGTATATATTTATTGTGGCGGGAACGAGTTCTGTATATATTTATTGTGGCCGGAGCGAGTTCTGTATGTATTTGATTGTGGCGGGAACGAGTTCTGTATATATTTATTGTGGCCGGAGCGAGTTCTGTATATATTTATTGTGGCCGGAGCGAGTTCTGTATATATTTATTGTGGCGAGAACGAGTTCTGTATGTATTTGATTGTGGCGGGAACGAGTTCTGTATATATTTATTGTGGCGGGAACGAGTTCTGTATATATTTATTGTGGCTGGAGCGTGTTCTGTATATATTTATTGTGGCGGGAACGAGTTCTGTATATATTTATTGTGGCCGGAGCGAGTTCTGTATGTATTTGATTGTGGCGAGAACGAGTTCTGTATGTATTTGATTGTGGCCGGAGCGAGTTCTGTATATATTTGATTGTGGCGGGAACGAGTTCTGTATATATTTATTGTGGCCGGAGCGAGTTCTGTATGTATTTGATTGTGGCCGGAGCGAGTTCTGTATGTATTTGATTGTGGCGAGAACGAGTTCTGTATGTATTTGATTGTGGCCGGAGCGAGTTCTGTATATATTTGATTGTGGCGGGAACGAGTTCTGTATATATTTATTGTGGCCGGAGCGAGTTCTGTATGTATTTGATTGTGGCCGGAGCGAGTTCTGTATATATTTGATTGTGGCGGGAACGAGTTCTGTATATATTTATTGTGGCCGGAGCGAGTTCTGTATATATTTGATTGTGGCGGGAACGAGTTCTGTATATATTTATTGTGGCCGGAGCGTGTTCTGTATGTATTTGATTGTGGCGGGAACGAGTTCTGTATATATTTATTGTGGCCGGAGCGAGTTCTGTATATATTTGATTGTGGCGGGAACGAGTTCTGTATATATTTATTGTGGCCGGAGCGAGTTCTGTATATATTTGATTGTGGTGGAAATGAATAAGAATTATTTGCATATTAAAGTCCTTCTTCATTAGCTACATAGATAAAATTAAGATATAACCTGTGAAAGTATTTTGCCTGTGAATTCATAGTTATGATACAAGGATGTGGCATTTCATTAATGTGTTGATTGTGATGGCTTATTAAAAAGGCACCATTTAGTCGGCTAGCAGTTAAGACTTATGTATTAAAATGAAGCCACATTTATGTTTACAGTTGCCAGTACAAGTACAGTGGCCACTCAGACATCCACAGTGTTTTACCCTGCCGTTCACGCATCACTCTCTGTGGCAGACACTGCCGAGGCTGTAGCTAGCGTGGTGGACAAGGAAACCTTTAATATCAAGGATACTGAACCATCCCTCGTCAATGTATGTTGACAGACCACCTCATATGTTCTCAAATTAAAAAGTTTGACATCGTTTGGAAATTTACAAGTTTATTTTTCCTGGTTGTAGTTTGCTATTTTAACCAGAATATCTCATTTTTGCTATTTTGTCCTTTTGCCATTTAATGTGAAAAGCAGAATCCAAAAATAGAAAATGTAACTCTTCCTGAATGGAAATTAACAATTCAATATTTGTCATTATTTTTCAGTTTTACGTAATTTTTAAATGACACAGAGAAAGCGTATATTTTTTAGCTGCATCATTATCAATGCAAACAACTCCATTAACAGGTGATAGAGTGTGAACTCAAGCGAGTGGATCAAGTGGTTAGGAGTCTCTCTTCCAAACTACCAATGGAAGATCCTCGTTTACAGCACCCTCTAGTGTACCTCACAGCCTGTAACGCAGGAAAGCGTGTGTGTCACAGAATCATGTGTGAACAGGTGGCTTACTGTGGTCTTCTGGACAGCGAAGAGAGGTAACAAAACGGATATTATTGGCAAAATAAATCACTGCCTGTATATAGGAGGGACAGAACTATAGAGAGATACCCGGAGGGGTTTTAATTGCAAAATTTATTGGTGTCTTTACTACAGTTGAGTGGAGCTATAGAGAAGAATCAGGAGGGGTTTTATTGTCTGAATATATTCTTGGATGGATTACAGGGGTGGAAGTAAAGAGAGGTGCCAGGAGGGGATTTATTGTCTGAATAAAGTAAAGAGGGGTACCTGGAGGGGATTTATTTGCAGAATATATTCTTGCATGGATTACCTGAATGAAGTAAAGAGGGGTACCTGGAGGGGTGTTTTTGGCAGAACATATTCATAGGTATGTTACATGGGAAAGGAGGGACAAGTGAAAGATAGAGAGGGAATTATTGTCAGAACATATTTATGTCTGTTCTACAAGGAATGGATCGAAGAAGAGGTAAAGGAGGGGAATTTTTGTCAAAATTATTAACTTTGGTGTCTATATAATACTAGTGGACAATTATGATCAATACACTGAAGATGTAATGTTGATTTATTTATGATTATGGTTTACTCTACAGTGATATTGGTGATCAGTGTGCAGGGCTCTCGATCTGCCAGATTTGGGGCCGAATTCCCAATGCAAAATAATATCTTTTTTTCCCAATTTAGACCCCAAGTTTCCAAGTTCTAAGGGAAATGCCACTATTTTTCCCAATTCTAAGGGCCCCGGGCCCCAGTCCCCAGTCCCCAGTCCCCAGTCCCCAGTCCCATAATGGGGTGTCAGAGTCCTGGTGTGATATTATTTTCCTTCATTTGTTGGTGTCCATGTGTCCATGAACTGCCATGATTAGTATAAGTAGATTTATTGACCTTTATCCACAGAATCAAATGTCCATGAAAAAGTGTTTTGAAAAATGGAGAAAATAGAAATCTTAAATGATCTGATTTTACAGTTCATTTTGTACAGATGTACAGACGAGTTGTTGATATGAAATCTCACTCCAGATCTATTCTTCTGCAGATACAAAGCACTGAAGAACACAGCCCTACGGATAGTCAATACTAGTGACAAGCTGGACCAGGACAGGTGTCGGGTAAGTCCTTGAGATGAGTCAGACAGGTCTCGGATAAGTCCTTGAGATGGGTCAGACAGGTCTCGGGTAAGTCCTTGAAATGGGTCGGACAGGTCTCGGATAAGACCTCGAGACAGGCCACGGATAAGTCTTCAAGAGAGGTCAGACAGGTTACTGATAAGTCCTTGTGACAGGTGTATTTCAACAACAAAGCATCCTCAATACTCCAGGTGTTACACTCACTATCAATCTCTGTATTCATGTGACATTTCATGGTTTGAAGGTTTCATGTAGAACACTGTCTCTATAAACTGAGAAGACTTGTTCTATAGTATACACCAGACGAATCGTGGGGGTCGAATAACAGTATATTGTACTGGCATGGAAGGTGGGTGTCACTCCTTTATGGGATGGAGAAAGTGGAAGTGATTGTTGATCCTGGAGTATCGAGGAGGAAGGTGGGTGTCACACCTTATGGGATGGAGAAAGTGGAAGTGATTGTTGATCCTGGAGTATCGAGGAGGAAGGTGGGTGTCACACCTTTATGGGATGGAGAGAGTGGAAGTGATTGTTGCTCCTGGAGTATCGAGGATGATAACAGAAGTTTTGTGATAAGTTCTGTTTTATATAAAACTTGATGTTTTACCTTTCTTAAAATTCTACCAAGTCTTCATCCAATACTTCATACATGTAACATTGTTACATTATAGGTAGTTAAAACTACAGCCAAACAATACTGGTATACTGATAAATTTTCAACCCTTTTGTATTTTCACCCTTTTTGTTCATGAAGAGGGAGGGTGAATGTAATGGAACAAAAATTTACTACACTTAGGTCACCATTTTTTAAAATCCTCAGTGGATGAAACGAAGATGCCAATCGTTAGTCATATTCTTTAAACCAAACACTGTAAGTCTAGTGTGAAAAAAGAAGTTTCACAAACATATTCACAGAAAAAGTCTGTCTTTCTCCCAGAAATACAGCTAACACGAGGCCTTCTGTTACTTAACATTTTGGTCCTGGAGGCGAAAGTTAAACTGAAGTGAAATTTTAATCATATATAGTATTTAACTGATAAAAATGTTTTTTTTTAATATGCTGTTTGTTATATTTCCAGCTTTGGCATGAAAAATATGACAAATTTCGGAAGATTGTTTACTGGTTTGTTCAAGGTGTTAGATACTACAATGAGGAAAAGTGAGTCTTTATTTTAGTTCTTTAAACATTCATTTTATAAAGGAATTTATGAATTCAATGTAATTAAAAAGGTTATTTTATAGTATTGAAAGTGATGTTTGAATTATTTTACATCTTTAACAATGAAATACATTTGTAATGTAAAGGTATTTAATTTATCCTAATGAGATTTTGAACATTGTCACTTTTTGGCAAGTTAGAACAATGATGTATTAGCACCCTGTTGATAATTACTATATATATATACACACAAGCAACAATTAGCTCCAAAAAGCAATAAAATGATTTTTTTGTTTAAACTTGTATGTTTACATTAGATAACAATTGTCTCATTAATATGTAAGTCTGTGTATTGACTAGAGATAAAAGAACATGACCTTTGTGAAATGAACTGAAAGATACAAGGTTTGTTATTGAATACTGTTAAAAAACTTATACAAGGCTTGTAATTGAATATTGTAAAAAATCTTAAATATACAAGGTTTGTTATTGAATACTGTAAACAATCTTAAATATACAAGGTTTGTTATTGAATACTGTAAAAATCTTAAATATACAAGGTTTGTTATTGAATACTGTAAAAATCTTAAATATACAAGGTTTGTAATTGAATATTGTAAAAAATCTTAAATATACAAGGTTTGTTATTGAATATTGTAAACAATCTTAAATATACAAGGTTTGTAATTGAATATTGGAAAAAATCTTAAATATACAAGGTTTGTTATTGAATATTGTAAAAAATCTTAAATATACAAGGTTTGTAGTTGAATATTGTAAAAAATCTTAAATATACAAGGTTTGTAGTTGAATATTGTAAACAATCTTAAATATACAAGGTTTGTAATTGAATACTGTAAAAAATCTTAAATATACAAGGTTTGTAGTTGAATACTGTAAACAATCTTAAATATACAAGGTTTGTTATTGAATACTGTAAAAAATCTTAAATATACAAGGTTTGTTATTGAATACTGTAAAAAATCTTAAATATACAAGGTTTGTTATTGAATACTGTAAACAATCTTAAATATACAAGGTTTGTAATTGAATACTGTAAAAAATCTTAAATATACAAGGTTTGTAGTTGAATACTGTAAACAATCTTAAATATACAAGGTTTGTTATTGAATACTGTAAACAATCTTAAATATACAAGGTTTGTTATTGAATACTGTAAAAAATCTTAAATATACAAGTTTTGTTATTGAATACTGTAAACAATCTTAAATATACAAGGTTTGTTATTGAATACTGTAAACAATCTTAAATATACAAGGTTTGTTATTGAATACTGTAAACAATCTTAAATATACAAGGCTTGTAATTGAATACAGAACAAAACATTTTTAAATTATCCATGGACTGCAGATCTCTAAAATTGGACCGTTGTTTTGTGGGTATCAATTTAAAATTCAGAGCTAAGAATTAACCTGAAAGTATATAATCACTTTTATATTCATTTAGTGAACAAAAATAATTCCTTTGTGTGGATGTAATTATTTAATAAATAAAAATTATTCCTCTGTGCTGATGTGATTATTAAAAAAAATAAAATATTCTCTGTTCACAGCTATGAGAAAGCGATGCCTTACTTCCTACACATCTATGAAGATAATCGGAAACTTTTGAGTGACTTTGGACCTGAGGGAGGACTTTCTAAGAAACTTTTAATGTACTATAGACGGCACTGTATGTTGGTAAGACCATACATGACTTTAATATTACAAATATTGTGGAAAAAGTAAAAACATTGTGATACTGTGCTAAAAGTTTCAAGTATTATGAAAAAAGGATGAAAAATGTTATTCTGGAGAACTGTTATGTTTATTTGTGAAAAATGAACAAAAATTATTTTAGGGTGAGAAAAACTATTTTTTGGGAGAGAAATCTTGTTACAAATGAAAGAAAGAAGTTTTGGTTTATGCGCTGATTGTTTGAGGCGGAAAATTGTAAAAAAAAGTCTGGCTTAAAAAAATCTGGCCTGCATCAAATATCAAGATTAAGAATTGTATCTGAATGTTTGCTAAAATCATCACAAATTTAAAACAGCCCTGAAATTATTTGTAAAGACAAAGGTTTTTACCCATTTCTTATAGAAATGTGAGGTTATGTTTATAAGTACTATGGAATGTGAATTAATTTCATGTTTTCATAGGTCTTTATACCTAGGTTAAAATTGTCTCCCTTAGACTGTCCATCAGAGAAAAATCCCATGTGATTTTAGTGAGGTGTGACTATACTTTGATGAGTGTAAGATTTTTTTATCAGTAAATAATAAATATGAAACAAAACAAAATTGTATAGACATTTGGATTATAACCAGTCCTTGCAATTTCATTCTAGAAACATAAACAAAAATCTGGAACAATTTGCAGGATCCAAATCTATCAAGCCCTCGGTTTGGGACTGTAGTCTGCTGTTTATTTATGTAAATGTCATGCTCTTCATTGTTAAAGCTAGTGAAGAAACAACAAGATAACTTTAATTAGACCTTACCCTGTATATAATATTGTTGGTTATTGAAATGTGTTTATTTCCTTCAGAAACTTAACACTGTGATGGCAGCTCGTTTTGAGGAGCAGGATGATGTAACGGAAACGCTACAAGTGATGAACACACATATGTTACCATGCCTACAACCAATGACACACTCGTCCTCACAGGAGGACACTTGTGCTATGGAAGTAGTACGGGAAAAGTGGTGTGCCTTCCTGGGACAGGAGATTAGTGGTGAGTCAATAACACAAAGTCAAACTTCTTTATCTCCAAAGCTTTTTTAAAATTTCATTGAATTTGAAATGGAAATTTAACTGTATATTGATGAGCCTGCAAAGTTGATAAATGAATTGAGAATAAACCCCTGAAAATAGGTACCAAGTGGATTAAATATACAGTAAAACCCCACTTACTCGAACCCGCATTCCTCGAATACCCCGTATTTGTCGAACTGCCCGCTCGGTCCCTACCGTTTCCTTATATATTCTATGTTATAAAACCCCAGATTCCTTGAACCGCTATTCGTCGAATACCCCCTTTTCGTTGAACTCATATTTATCCCTGTTCCCTAATATTACCATAGTATATTCCCATGTTTTCGTCGAACATGTAATCCACCTGTGTCACACTTGACTGCGTTAACGTGAGCTGATCGGCTCTGATCACTGCCATGTGTTTACACAGGTGTGCGACTTGACAGCAGCCAGTTAAGGAATTAACGACAGGTTTACCTACCTGGGCTGATACTTCACACCTTATGCAGTAATTTTATCATTACCTTTCTAGTACACACGTGGTTTAGCTTGACTTAAAATATTGAATAATATTGTAACATTATACCAGAAGTTTTATTTCAGTAAAACCAAATTACGAAATGACACACTATTAAAGGAATGATTTTCTACTGATGTATCGTTGTAACGACTTTTTTTTCCAAGGGGCATTTATACACTTTTAATCAATGAGACTTTTTACAGTAGTTCTGGGTATTGATTCCGAAATGTGTGAGATGTTTCGCTTCTATAAGACTTCAATCAAGTGTAATTGTTCGTTAACGGATTGATGACTACTTACTGTGACCAGAGACATACCATTGTGGTACAGACTATATCTCACACATGATCTACATTTTGACCAACCTCTGATTACTGGAATACCCTGTATTCCTCAAACTATTGACACAGGCCCGAGGAGTTCGACTTAGCTGGGTTTTACTGTATTAAAGTAACCAAGAAAACAATTTTCATGTAGAAAATCGTTTCACCTTCTACTGTCAATTGAGGGATCTTAAATTCTATCAGTCAGACAAATCATGCATACTATTGGTTTATGGAATTAACATTACTATGGATCAGCAGAACTGTCAGGAATTATGGCAGGTTTTTTCTGGTGAGTCCAGAGCACTCCCCAAACTTTGATAAGTCTTATTGTGAAGGTTGGCAGTCATGATTACATTTGTGTCATTGTGAAGTTTGGTAGCCATTGTTACGTTTGTCATTCATTGTGAAGTTTGTCAGTCATTGTGAAGGTTGTCAGCCATTATTATGTTTGTCAGCCATTGTGAAGGTTGTCAGCCATTATTATGTTTGTCAGCCATTGTGAAGGTTGTCAGTCATTGTGAAGGTTGTCAGCCATTATTATGTTTGTCAGCCATTGTGAAGGTTGTCAGCCATTATTATGTTTGTCAGCCATTGTGAAGGTTGTCAGCCATTGTGAAGGTTGTCAGCCATTATTATGTTTGTCAGCCATTGTGAAGGTTGTCAGCCATTATTATGTTTGTCAGCCATTGTGAAGGTTGTCAGTCATTGTGAAGGTTGTCAGCCATTGTGAAGGTTGGCAGCCATTGTGAAGGTTGTCAGCCATTGTGAAGGTTGTCAGCCATTGTGAAGGTTGTCAGCCATTATTATGTTTGTCAGCCATTGTGAAGGTTGTCAGTCATTGTGAAGGTTGTCAGCCATTATTATGTTTGTCAGCCATTGTGAAGGTTGTCAGCCATTATTATGTTTGTCAGCCATTGTGAAGGTTGTCAGCCATTATTATGTTTGTCAGCCATTGTGAAGGTTGGCAGCCATTATTATGTTTGTCAGCCATTGTGAAGGTTGTCAGCCATTGTGAAGGTTGTCAGCCATTGTGAAGGTTGTCAGCCATTGTGAAGGTTGTCAGCCATTGTGAAGGTTGTCAGCCATTGTGAAGGTTGTCAGCCATTGTGAAGGTTGTCAGCCATTGTGAAGGTTGTCAGCCATTGTGAAGTTTGTCAGCCATTGTGAAGGTTGTCAGCCATTGTGAAGGTTGTCAGCCATTGTGAAGGTTGTCAGCCATTGTTATGTTTGTCAGCCATTGTGAAGGTTGTCAGCCATTGTGAAGGTTGTCAGCCATTATTATGTTTGTCAGCCATTGTGAAGGTTGGCAGCCATTGTGAAGGTTGTCAGCCATTATTATGTTTGTCAGCCATTGTGAAGGTTGGCAGCCATTGTGAAGGTTGTCAGCCATTATTATGTTTGTCAGCCATTGTGAAGGTTGTCAGCCATTATTATGTTTGTCAGCCATTGTGAAGGTTGTCAGCCATTATTATGTTTGTCAGCCATTGTGAAGGTTGTCAGCCATTATTATGTTTGTCAGCCATTGTGAAGGTTGTCAGCCATTATTATGTTTGTCAGCCATTGTGAAGGTTGTCAGCCATTATTATGTTTGTCAGCCATTGTGAAGGTTGTCAGTCATTGTGAAGGTTGTCAGCCATTATTATGTTTGTCAACCATTGTGAAGGTTGTCAGTCACTGTGAAGTTTGTCAGCCATTGTGAAGGTTGGCAGCCATTGTGAAGGTTGGCAGCCATTGTGAAGGTTGTCAGCCATTGTGAAGGTTGTCAGCCATTGTGAAGGTTGTCAGCCATTGTGAAGGTTGTCAGCCATTGTGAAGGTTGGCAGCCATTGTGAAGGTTGTCAGCCATTATTATGTTTGTCAGCCATTGTGAAGGTTGGCAGTCATTGTGAAGGTTGGCAGCCATTGTGAAGGTTGTCAGCCATTGTGAAGGTTGTCAGCCATTGTGAAGGTTGGCAGCCATTGTGAAGGTTGTCAGCCATTGTGAAGGTTGTCAGCCATTGTGAAGGTTGTCAGCCATTGTGAAGGTTGTCAGCCATTGTGAAGGTTGTCAGCCATTGTGAAGGTTGGCAGCCATTGTGAAGGTTGTCAGCCATTATTATGTTTGTCAGCCATTGTGAAGGTTGTCAGCCATTGTGAAGGTTGTCAGCCATTGTGAAGGTTGTCAGCCATTATTATGTTTGTCAGCCATTGTGAAGGTTGTCAGCCATTATTATGTTTGTCAGCCATTGTGAAGGTTGTCAGTCATTGTGAAGTTTGTCAGTCATTGTGAAGTTTGTCAGTCATTGTGAAGGTTGTCAGCCATTATTATGTTTGTCAGCCATTGTGAAGGTTGTCAGCCATTGTGAAGGTTGTCAGCCATTGTGAAGGTTGTCAGCCATTGTGAAGTTTGTCATTCATTGTGAAGGTTGTCAGTCACTGTGAAGTTTGTCAGTCATTGTGAAGGTTGTCAGCCATTGTGAAGTTTGTCAGCCATTGTGAAGGTTGGCAGTCATTGTGAAGTTTGTCAGTCATTGTGAAGTTTGTCAGTCATTGTGAAGTTTGTCAGCCATTGTGAAGTTTGTCAGCCATTGTGAAGTTTGTCAGTCATTGTTATGTTTGTCAGCCATTGTGAAGGTTGTCAGCCATTATTATGTTTGTCAGCCATTGTGGAGGTTGGCAGCCATTGTAAAGGTTGGCAGCCATTATTATGTTTGTCAGCCATTGTAAAGGTTGGCAGCCATTATTATGTTTGTCAGCCATTGTGGAGGTTGGCAGTCATTGTAAAGGTTGGCAGCCATTATTATGTTTGTCAGCCATTGTAAAGGTTGGCAGCCATTATTAAGTTTGTCAGCCATTGTGAAGGTTGTCAGTCACTGTGAAGTTTGTCATTCATTGTGAAGGTTGGCAGCCATTGTGAAGGTTGTCAGCCATTGTGAAGGTTGTCAGCCATTGTGAAGGTTGTCAGCCATTGTGAAGGTTGTCAGCCATTGTGAAGGTTGTCAGTCATTGTGAAGGTTGTCAGCCATTGTGAAGGTTGTCAGCCATTGTGAAGGTTGTCAGCCATTGTGAAGGTTGTCAGCCATTGTGAAGGTTGTCAGCCATTGTGAAGTTTGTCAGCCATTGTGAAGTTTGTCAGCCATTGTGAAGTTTGTCAGCCATTGTGAAGTTTGTCAGCCATTGTGAAGGTTGTCAGCCATTGTGAAGGTTGTCAGCCATTGTGAAGGTTGTCAGCCATTGTGAAGGTTGTCAGCCATTGTGAAGGTTGTCAGTCACTGTGAAGTTTGTCAGCCATTGTGAAGTTTGTCATTCATTGTGAAGGTTGTCAGTCACTGTGAAGTTTGTCAGCCATTGTGAAGGTTGTCAGCCATTGTGAAGGTTGTCAGCCATTGTGAAGGTTGTCAGCCATTGTGAAGGTTGTCAGCCATTGTGAAGGTTGTCAGCCATTGTGAAGTTTGTCAGCCATTGTTTTACCTGCAGTTTTATGATTACACCTATATTTTCTATTTCACAGCTCGGAAAATTGAAAAGCTACAAGATTTCATGTCAAAGCTGTTTGATCCGCCAAATGAGACACGGCCACCTGCACTACAGTCAGTACAGATGCAGGACTTACGAGACTTGTATAGACAGTATATCAATGTGATAGAGTGCGCAGTCAGAAATGGTTCTGTCGGCAAAGCACTCAACAGTCAGTAATGTGTGTCAGCGGTCAGGAGGGAGCCCTCTACAGAATAATTTATGTCAGCAGTCAGGAGGGAGCCCTCCACAGATTAATTTATGTCAGCGGTCAGGAGGGAGCCCTCCACAGATTAATTTATGTCAGCGGTCAGTAGGAGGCCCTCAGTATTCAGTAATGTGTATCAGTGTTCAGTAAGTATCCCTCCACTGTCTGTAATTTATGTCTGTGGTCAGTACTAGGCCCTCAACAGTCTGTAATGTGTGTCAGCAGTCAGACAGGAACCCTCCACTGTCTGTAATTTATGTCTGTGGTCAGTACTAGGCCCTCAACAGTCTGTATTGTGTGTCAGCAGTCAGACAGGAACCCTCCACTGTCTGTAATTTATGTCTGTGGTCAGTACTAGGCCCTCAACAGTCTGTATTGTGTGTCAGCAGTCAGACAGGAACCCTCCACTGTCTGTAATTTATGTCTGTGGTCAGTACTAGGCCCTCAACAGTCTGTATTGTGTGTCAGCAGTCAGACAGGAACCCTCCACTGTCTGTAATTTATGTCTGTGGTCAGTACTAGGCCCTCAACAGTCTGTATTGTGTGTCAGCAGTCAGGCAGGAACCCTCCACTGTCTGTAATTTATGTCTGTGGTCAGTACTAGGCCCTCAACAGTCTGTATTGTGTGTCAGCAGTCAGGCAGGAACCCTCCACTGTCTGTAATTTATGTCTGTGGTCAGTACTAGGCCCTCAACAGTCTTTATTGTGTGTCAGCAGTCAGGCAGGAACCCTCCACTGTCTGTAATTTATGTCTGTGGTCAGTACTAGGCCCTCAACAGTCTTTATTGTGTGTCAGCAGTCAGTAGGTGTCGCTTAAGAGTGTTGATATGTCGTTAATTGGAAACAATAATTGTTCTGTTAGTGTAGTCAGTGTTGAATCACAGACACATTTCTAGTGGCATGATTCCAATGATTGTAAGAAAGCTGAAGTGTACTTTAGAAAACTGCTGACAGTGCAGAAAGAAATGATTACTGGTGTTAGTAAATTGAATGAGTAGGTTATAACATTACCTGGCTACTGGAACTAGCCAATGAAAGACCAGTGAAGCATGGCTGCTGATAAGTGATGTGTGACTGTCACAGCTAGGTAATTAGGGGCCAGTAAAACATGGCTGCTGATAACAAGTAATGTATGGCCAAACCCAGCTAGGTAATTAGGGACCTGTAAAGCATGGCTGCTGATAATGAGTGATGTGTGGCCATCCCAGCTAGGTAATTAGGGACCTGTAAAGCATGGCTGCTGATAATGAGTGATGTGTGGCCATCCCAGCTAGGTAATTAGGGGTCTGTGAAGCATGGCTGCTGATAACGAGTGATGTGTGACCATCCAAGCTAGGTAATTGGATACAAGCAAAACATGGCTACTGATAACCAGTGAACTGTGATTACATCGAAATGGAGATGTGTGTGTCAGGAAGTCAGTGATGTATGACCGATGATAAACCAAATAATGTGATATTTATTATTTATATGATCATACCCAATGTATACATTATTCTCATATTCATTGGGATGAAATGCACATTTGTGTTGAAAAGTGCATGCAAGTTGTTTTTTTTTTCTTTTTTAACATTTAAGTATAAGGTAGTGACTATTGTAAAGGAATATTTGACTAAAGACACACTGAGGTCAAGTATTCGTCAACATATTTCTTGGCCAGCAGCCTATTTTACCATTCATACTTTTACTGATTGTACCATTTAAATATTTGTTTAAGTCCTGTAGGTTTAATAAACTTTTTCTGTGGATATGATGGTAAATTTGAATATTTTGTCTCAGAAATTGTAAATAAAAACTAGAAAATTGCCAAAACTATGTTAAGTTCTTTATAAAAAAAAAATCAGGCCATGTCTATAATAAATTCTCTCCTGGACAAATTGTGAAATTGTTAGAAAATTTTCATAATTGATAATAACTTTGCCCTTGACTTAATGATAATGTTGATCAAGAACTATTTTTTTCAGATAAACAGTTAATAGACGTGAAGTTAGAATATAGATAATGCAATATTTTTCATTTGGTGTGCTTGAATGTTTTTCCTATTGGCGTTGAAGACAGACAAAATGTTGAAAACATTTGGTCCAGGCACTTCGGGTCTGGATGTGTCCATTGCATTGTTACTACCCCTGTGATGGCATGCTTGATAGTGTTTGCCTGCTCGAATTTAGATTGGATTTTGTCAAAAAACTGACTGTTCCCTTCCAGTATCTTCATTGAAATCATTGCCTTTGAAGAGAAAAAGTTTTTCCAACTTGTCAAAAAGAACAATTTCAATTCTTGATATGAAGTCAGATTTTTAAATGTTAGGAAAAATTAATTCTCAGATGCTGATTGTCGTAACATTTAAATCATACTTTGTTCCTTTAATAACTAAGTTACACTAATTACATATTGTGAAGACATTGCCACAAAAGTTATCAATGTTGATCATGACTTTTATTTGGAGGAATTGAAAATTGTTTAGAAAAGCAGATTTTGCCACTTAGTATAAACACTTGATTTGATCAAACCACATGTCTGCTGATCTGAAAACAATGTTGTTCTGACAAAATGGGTTCAAAAAAATAATGACCAGATTATTAGCTTTTCAAACTTTACCACGATGATATCTGTCAAATTTGCTGGAGAATCGTTTGGTATTGTCAAACTTTTCTATTAACTTTATGTGAAAATTTAAAGTACAATGCAATATCGTTTGTATGGAAACGTTGCTCCAGTCATTAACGGGTAAAAGGATTTTTTTCCTTAGCTAGGGCTGAATATATTTACATTATATCGTTTAGAAGGAATGCAAAAAAATGTGATTTCCATCGCATCAGCTGATACTGTCATTTCAGTGTGGAGTGAGATATCATTTGTGCTTTCACAGTCTAAAAACTTTATAATGATATTTGAATGATGCCATGACTATTGAACACTGATAGGAGGTGATCTGTATGGTTGTAGAGCTCTGTTCAATACACATTCATTGTTGTAGAAATAGAAAAAAAAACTCCAGTCTTTCATTTCATGTATTGGTTAACAATGTATTTAATTAAAAGCTTTAATTTGTATTAGATTGATTCACAAATATAGCCCAGTTGTATTTCAATGTTGCATTTTTCCTTTGAGTAGCTTTGTAAATAAATACTTGTACTCTCCATTGCCAAACTGTAGCAACGCGTGAAAAACATTTCCCATTCACGTACTTTTTTTGAGAAATGGAAACCAAATCAGAGAAGTAGTCGTCACTAACTTTTCTTAATTTACGAACATTTTTTTTTTAGTTAATTTTGTACACCAGAACTTTTATTTTTTATGCAGTCATGTATCTTAAGTCCAGACTTTATCTTTGATTGAGATCTTAAGTATGCTTAAGTAAATTTTAGTTACACATCACAGGCACTAATTCAGTTTCAAGAGGATAGCAATCGTCCTTTTTATAAAGGTTCACATTTCATGAATGCTCCATATTGTTAGGCAATTCAAGTGAAAAATTCCAAAGAGTATATTGGAAAAGATGTAAATTTTTTTCAAGCTTAGTTGAAATCTTAACACAAAATAAATGTTGTATTTTATAGATGCAAATATGCCAATTCCTGTTTGCAAATATCCAACAATTTTTTTTATTAGAAGAAGCTGTTAGCAACACTATAGTGTCACCCTATTGAAACTTACGTGCACAAAAAACTATGATATTGTAAATTTACAATGTAGAATTAGGTAGAGGATGTCCTTCCATCATTTCTCATTTTATAAGGAAAAATATTGTGAAAACATTTGTCCATGCTTCTGTCAAATGATCAATAGAATCATGCTTGTGTAGTGCTAAATTTATGTAGCTTGTTTCAAGTGAAATTTTAGAAAGTCATTTTATTTTAAAGATTATAATATTACACAAGCAGTTGTGTTAGATTGTCTATAAATCAATGACTAGAAATATGATGATATGAGTTAATGATCAGTGTAAACCTGTATGTTTGGATACTGTGATCTGATCTGTTTATAGAAATTCTACTCCGATGATCTGGATTGGATTTTATTGTTTTAAGATGTTTTATTATTCGTGTGTTTCTTCGTCACTTGCCAAATTTGACATCAATTCCTGTGTATGTATTTAAAGTTAAATTTGAAAATTCAACTCAAATCGGAAGGTTTTTATCAAATAAATAGTGAAAGATATGTAGTTTGATGAATAGGTTAATGAATGATTGTGAAAGTGTGATTTGTTTTGAGACTCAGAATGAAAGTGAGTTTAATTTATAATTTAGGGGATACAGAAATGGAAAATAATCACACCCTGAAAGGAAAAAAATCATGTTTTCATAATATGTAGCGCTTGTTAAAAATCATTTTTTTCTTAATTTTGAAACCAGTTTTATAGAATCAAGTAACATTTCTCAGAAAACAAATGTTTTCATTTAAATCCTCAATGAATTTCTTTTTTCTTTTTTTTTCTCTTTTTGAGGAATTCACTGTGTCTGATGATATCATCATTATTATCTATTAAATCACACATTTTATGAAAGGTATTTGTCGCTCCAGACATAATTACTTTTTACTTTAACAATTAACTGAGACAAAAATGTGTTCTCTAAACAACAATTTTATGAATTTTCAATTTCATTTCTTATGATTATACTTACAGAATTTTTGAGCTTTTTGAAACTTGAAAAATAACTAAAACAGATCTATCTGTCAAAAAGAAAGAAAAAAGGAAGATTATTTGCCGAGAAACACATTAAGCTATTAGGACAAACAGATAAAAACAAGATGATTGTGTTTGTGGGTATGTATAATTACTTGTGTTTTCACAGGTATTTTTTGTATCAATATTCTGTCACCTGGTAATTATAACAGTATACAGATAGATACTTTCCCACCAATACAGGTAGAAATTTACCTATATACGTGGAAAAGTTGACCTGTACAGATAGATATTTTACTTATACAGGTAAATATTACCTATACAGGTAGATATTTTATCAGGTACGTTGTACTTATTACCTATTTTCATAGATAGATGTTGTACCTGCTGTAAATATGTATTGAAATTTAGCTAGCTTCACTGCTTTGTAAATAGTATTCCAGAGTGTACAGTTATGTTGAAAGTTGAAATGAGAGGAAATATATTCGAGAGAGTTGTTTAAAAAGAATAAAAAATTAAATCTGATAGGATTGTTATTATGTTTTCATTTTCATGACTATATGGTATGTTCTGCTCTATTACAGCAATGAAGCATTTCTCTTATTATATTCTTGTCTTATTGCTAATAGCCAGGATCTTTTTCAACTCCCTAAAGAATATAGATGTACATCTTCCAGTCATAGTTGGCATTTAGTGATAACAGTTTGTACATGACACAAGCAAAGTATATTTACTAGAGGCAATCTTACCACCTTTTTATCACCAACCATATACGGCGTATCATACCACTAGACCACTGTGTCTCTCGTTAATTATCATACCACTAGACCACTGTGTCTCTCGTTAGTTACCATACCACTAGACCACTGTGTCTCTCGTTAATTACCATACCACTAGACCACTGTGTCTCTCGTTAATTACCATACCACTAGACCACTGTGTCTCTCGTTAATTACCATACCACTAGACCACTGTGTCTCTCGTTAATTACCATACCACTAGACCACTGTGTCTCTCGTTAATTCTGTTTTGCTGAAAAGGCAGCCCAGCAGACTTGACTCTGTTTTTGAGTCTGGGACTTGAACGACGGACCAGAGTCTTGTGAATGGCCAACAATGGCTGAAAGGTTCCTGGGATGAAGCTCGATGACATTTTTCAAAAGAAATAATTCTGAACCATATTCGAGGTCACTGGTCTGAAATGAAAACTTCCAATTCAATGTCAGCCCTATAGAGTTAGAATGTTTGGCTGTTGGTTTCCTGGAATTGACACAAACATATATCAAGTAACAATATTAATTACGTTTATGGCATTATCAGTAATACATTAATTAGTAACATTATTTCAGTTATGTAAATTGGGACCAGCAAGCTGGTAAGGTTGTGGAGATCAAACATTGATATCAAATTTGTTCTTGTCAGAGAGAATTCACTGTTATCATTCAGATTAACAGATGATGTTGTCTACTATGGTCCTGCCGTCTCTTCACGCCATATGTCTTTAAATCAATTATGATTATGCAGAATAAAATTCACACGATTGTCCAATTCAGCGAAGGAGGTGGAACATTACAAATAATTACCAAACTATATTTATGAAGCTGTAACATTTGAAAACCTTTTGTTGTACACCTATTTACCTGAAGAAAGTGTTTTCTGAATTCTTTGTTGAAGTTTTTCTTCAGAAGCACTAGATGGATCTTTCCTAAATGTTAGAAGCGTTTGTCACTTCCCTTTTGTCTCTTCGATGTGTCTGCCCAATTTTTAGATGGACTGGAAAAACAAAATGATTTAACACATTACAAGTGGCCATCTTAGTTTTTAACACTTAATGATTGTTAGGTATTAAACTTTCTCAAAATTGGATGAATTGTCAAGGGATGTCCATCTTTGATATCTTTTTCTGAAGATGCACCAACAGGGAACCTTTTGTCAGAATTTTGTATGTTTACTTTTTAAACTGGTGTAAAAGAACAGGACAGCTGCTGGACTCTGATCTTGGTAGCCCAGTTTTCCTCCCACTCCTACATTCAAAACATCGGATAGGAACTAATGGAAATATTATCACCATCTTTGATTTTTACATCAGTGAATTCTTGTTTTTATTTGTCAGAATTAAATAATGGATCTTACTCAATCTTCATACATTAGTTTTCTTTATAAAACAATGCATGATTTATATACCTGTACACACAATAAATAAAATGTGACGATTGAAGAAACAGTTCATATAGAACCTGAAAAAAAAACATGGTTGGCACCAAGGGATATTTTGCATCAAGCAGCACAACATCTGGTATTAATTTGGGTGATAATTATGAGGTACTAGATAGCAGCATCAATTTTAAAACTTGGTAATTTTTTTCTGGACATCAGTGTTTTGTTAACGCCCTTACAAAAGTCAGGGTCGAATGAAGGCTTTATTTTCGGATGATGGGGCCCCTAACCTAGACATTTATAGTGCTGACACACTGAATTGTCAACATGGACAGAGTAGCATGATACCCCACCTGGTCAATATACATTATACTAACAATGGGCTCATACATTTATAGTGCTGTCTCACTGAATTGTCAACATGGACAGAGTAGCATGATACCCCACCTGGTCAATATACATTATACTAACAATGGGCTCATACATTTATAGTGCTGTCATACTGAATTGTCAACATGGACAGAGTAGCATGATACCCCACCTGGTCAGTATACATTATACTTACATTGGGCTCATTAATGCTGACTGTTGTTATGTAACTATTTTTCTGGCTTTGGTAAATGTTGACATGGTTAAAGAAGGCATAAAGCATTATCACCGAGGTGAATGCTCAATTTAATGTCAAAAGTGAGATAGTATCTTAAGGAACAGATATTTCATATAAATTTTGAAGATGAATATATAATAACAGTAATAAAAAGAAGCAAACTGACTATTTCTGAAGCAGCAGGTATCCCCAACCAGTCCTCGGAACCAATGATGTGTGAATATCCCCTACCAGTCCTCGGAACCAATGATGTGTGAATATTCCCTACCAGTCCTTGGAACCAATGATGAGTGAATCTCCCCAACCAGTCCTCGGAACCAATGTTGTGTGAATATCCCCTACCAGTCCTCGTAACCAATGACGTGTGAATCTCCCCTAACGGTCCTCGGAACCAATGATGTGTGAATATCCCCAACCAGTCCTCGGAACCAATGATGTGTGAATATCCCCTACCAGTCCTCGGAACCAATGATGTGTGAATATCCCCTACCGGTCCTCGGAACCAATGATGTGTGAATATTCCCTACCAGTCCTTGGAACCAATGATGTGTGAATATCCCTACCAGTCCTTGGAACCACTGATGTGTGAATATTCCCTATCCGTCCTCTTAACCAATGATGTGTGAATATCCCCAACCAGTCCTCGTAACCATTGATGTGTGAATCTCCTCTACCGGTCCTTGTAACCAATGATGTGTGAATATCCCCTACCAGTCCTCAGAACCAATGATGTGTGAATATCCCCTACTAGTCCTCGGAACCTATGATGTGTGAATCTCCAATACCGGTCCTCGTTACCAATGATGTGTGAATCTCCCCTACCGGTCCTCGGAACCAATGATGTGTGAATCTCCCCTACCGGTCTTCGTAACCAATGATGTGTGAATCTCCCCTACCGGTCCTCGTAACCAATGTTGTGTGAATATCCCCTACCCGTCTTCGGAACCAATGATGTCTGAATCTCCCCTACCGGTCCTCAGAACAAATGATGTGTGAATATCCCTTACCAGCCCTCGGAACCAGTGAGGTGTGATATTCCCTACCAGTCCTCGTAACCAATGATGTGTGAATATCCACTACCGGTCCTCGTAACCAATGATGTGTGAATATCCCCAACCAGTCCTCGGAACGAATGATGTGTGAATCTCCCTTACCAGTCCTCGGAACCAGTGAGGTGTGAATATTCCCTACCAGTCCTTGTAACCAATGATGTGTGAATATCTCTCAAGAAATGAAGTTGCAAGAACTCCCAAAATGATTTTCTACAAAATGTAACAGTGACCATGACCTAATAATATTAAAGGTTCATCTCGTCCATGATATCATGGTCGCTTACATGCGAGGTTTAAAAAAAATCCAGTAGTGAATGAATCCTCTAGATTGTTGACGATTATCAGAGTAATAACGGTGACCTTGACCCAACAACCTTGAACCTTAAAGTTTTTCTTATATGGAAATGTACACAAATTTTGATGTAAGATTTTGGTGCAACATTCTTTCTTTCCTTTTAAAGAGTGATATTTTATCAAAGAGTTTGATATATTTTGTGTGCTAAGCATGTATCTGCATTAAAAAAGATTAAACACAGATCTAGAATGACCTCTACTAGACCGTAATCAGATGTAAACTGTATTTTTTACCATAACAAATGAAGTTAAGCATCTTTTTGTGTGTGAAATATCCATACAATATAATCTGTTTTAGACCTGTTACCTGTTTACAGTCGATCATTATATCCACCGCTTTATAGTGGTAACAAGAATTGTACTGCTTGTGCAAGAATTATACTGTGATAGAATCTATCTATATATATAAATACCTTTGTCGAGCCTACATTGACACTACGAAACTGATTTTATGTGTAGTTCAATAAAGCTCCATATTTCTGAAAATTCAGTAACGCTATATCTGTTGATGTTAATTCAGCTCGTTACTAATATTCTTAGCTCAGCTAAAAGACCGAAATAAATAAATTATAAAAATTATAATTGTATAATTTACTAATATTGATTGATCTGATTTATCAACTAATACAATAAATTCAATATTTAAAAAAATTCTTAGGTGTAAAATTGTACCTTGCTTAAGAGAGCCATTTAAAAAATACGTGTCTCGCGTTCACATTTGTATTAGGAAATAAAATGTTAATCCGTGCATAACATTATCGTTAATCATAATTATGAATCAAAGTTATTCTTTTCTATTTAATATTAAAAGGTATCCGTTAATTTAATACACGATCAGTAGGTTAGACTAACCCAAAATACATTAGTTAGGCAAATTACATGTTTCCTTAATCGGGAGTCCTCGGAGCTTTTCGTTTACATAATAGTGGGAGTTACGGTTTGTGAGTGCCACACCCAGAAATATTTAAACTTCCTTGTTCAAATTTTAAAATACAATAACTTCCTACGAGTAGTTTTTCATGAAACATGATTTTTATGATACGTTTTTTTGTAACCTAATAAAATCCGAAGGTGTCATACAAAATAAACTTTAGGCAGTGAGGAAAACAACTGCAAAAGCCGGTTGCATAGAGTTCGGCAATTGATGCATTGGACCCGTAAACAGAGCTACACATGTTCATTTTTTTCATTCGAAAATTGTGAACTTAAATTTGACTAAAACATCTCAGATATTGTTTATTTTGAGTAAGGTAATTATCTAAATATTTAATCGTATAAAACAGATGGAACTGTGACTAGAAAAACAATCGAAACTACGGTTCAATGAAACATTGTGACTTTCGGAAATTCATAAAT